GTTGTGAGTTCGATCCCGACCCCGACGCGTGCTCTATATTTTGAGTTTGTGGTGTCTCTCTCGTTTCCCTGCGATCACGTGGATATTTCTCCGGGTCCTCCGTTTCCTCCCATCACATTTAGAATCGACATCACCATGCGTTGAGAGTATTGGGCTGCTGTACATATCCACATGCTGATGATAAGCTACTTTGTTTAGCTATCATTTGTGGCCAGGTCACTTCTGTAAAAGAGCTATACAGTATATAGTTCAGCAGGGCCTTATTTGGTAAAATGCAAAATAGTTTAGTTGAGAATTTGGAGGAAATCTATGCAGAACAGGGGGAGAACATTCAAACCTCACACACTCACTCTAACTCACTCGCACTCACACACACACAACTCAAACACTGCAGGACAGGGGATACACACTTACTGCACACACTCACACTCTCCCTCTGATACACACAACTCACACACACAAACAGCAGAACAGAGGACGGTACATACTTCACGCACTCACACTCTCTCATACACACAAATCACACACACACACTGCTGAACAGAGGGGGGGCACGCTAACTCCACTCTCAATCTTGCACCCACACTAACACTCACTAACACTCACTCGCACTCACTAATACTCACTAGCACTCACTCACACTCACTAATACTCACTAGCACTCACTCACACTCATTCAAACTCACTAACACTCACTAACACTCACTCGCACTCACTAACACTCACTAACACTCACTCGCACTCACTAACACTCACTCGCACTCACTAACACTCACTAACACTCACTCGCACTCACTAACACTCACTCGCACTCACTAACACTCACTAACACTCACTCGCACTCACTCGCACTCACTAACACTCACTAACACTCACTAACACTCATTCAAACTCACTAACACTCACTAGCACTCACTAACACTCACTCGCACTCACTCGCACTCACTAACACTCACTAACACTCACTCGCACTCACTCGCACTCACTAACACTTCTTCGCATTCACTAACACTAACACTTTCATTCAGACTCTGTCGCCTCGACGGACTTGGTTTTCACCTGAGGACGGCTGCTTGCGTTGTGGCCGAAACGTCGTGAGAATTGTTTTATTATGTTTTATTTTTATTATTTTATTACTTCCCTTCTACGTGACTTTACGGAAAGAACCAAGAAGATGAATCCCTGCAGTCACGAAAGCTTTAAATCGAAAACTAACACTTACTCACACTCAATTTCACCGAATGTCACACGCACTGCAGAACAAGACAACCACAGAAAAACGTCCCAGACACACAGCAGTCGGGGTGACACAGAACAAGTGAGACGGTGCTAATGACATGGACGGTACTAACGAGACTACCAACGAGATAGTAGCAGTGATACGAACAAGACAAACGAGACCGTACCACCGAGACGAACCAAGATCCCTCCTGTAGCCCCACAGACTGTTGGAGCAAGCGCTGTTGGGGCAAGCTCTGTTAGCGAGTGGCGGCACCGATGAAGGCCGGCACTGTGGCACACGCGAGGGTGGTGGTGGTGGTGGTGGTCAGCACCACGCCGCCCGGCCGTCTTTGTCTCCTTCGTTGCGTCGATTGCGCACCGCACCGCACCGCACCGGCTACTCATTAAAACGGTCAATGTAGCGGAGGCCCTGGACCGCTTGAGATAATCGTCACCGGTATTGGTGGCCGTGAGCGGGAATCGAACTTTAGTTGCCAGATTTGTAGCGCAGCGCGCTGACCGCTGCACCACCGCTGCACTCACCGCACACACGCTCACACTAGCACTCATTTGAGGCCGAGTGGACGTCCACTTACACACTCACACATCCCCCCCCCCCCCACACTCTCGCGCAGAGATTGTTTTTTTGTTTGCTGCCAATTATTGTTCCTGATTGTGTCGGTAGTGGCAGCGGCCGCGGCAGCGCCTTGTCAAGAGCCGTGGACGTTTCAATTTGGAACTCTTTCCCCCCCCCCTCCTTCCCGCTCTCCCCTGGCGAGCGCTGCCCAATCCAGTCGCAGACATCGCAGGAGCCAGTTGCCGTTACTGCCGAGTGCGTAGGCGGTGCAGTTGCACCGACGCCCAAGAGACGTGGGGGGTACGGGGTGTGCCCAGGAGCCGGCGACGAGGTGGGGGGGGCGATTTGATTTATCCCCCCCCCCACCGCCCCCCGGCCGCATGCCAACCACGCAAAGCCACTGGATGCAGCGTTAATCACTGCGGAGTGATGGGGCTAGCGTGAGTGATGGGGCTAGCGTGAGTGATGGGGCTAGCGTGAGTGGTGGGGCTAGCGTGAGTGGTGGGGCTAGCGTGAGTGGTGGGGCTAGCGTGAGTGGTGGGGCTAGCGTGAGTGATGGGGCTAGCGTGAGTGGTGGGGCGAGCGTGAGTGGTGGGGCTAGCGTGAGTGGTGGGGCGAGCGTGAGTGGTGGGGCTAGCGTGAGTGGTGGGGCGAGCGTGAGTGATGGGGCTAGCGTGAGTGGTGGGGCGAGCGTGAGTGGTGGGGCGAGCGTGAGTGGTGGGGCGAGCGTGAGTGGTGGGGCGATGGTGAGTGGTGGGGCTAGCGTGAGTGGTGGGGCGAGCGTGAGTGATGGGGCTAGCGTGAGTGGTGGGGCGAGCGTGAGCGGTGGGGCGAGCGTGAGCGGTGGGGCGAGCGTGAGCGGTGGGGCGAGCGTGAGCGGTGGGGCGAGCGTGAGCGGTGGGGCGAGCGTGAGCGGTGGGGCGAGCGTGAGTGGTGGGGCGAGCGTGAGTGGTGGGGCTAGCGTGAGTGGTGGGGCTAGCGTGAGTGGTGGGGCGAGCGTGAGTGGTGGGGCTAGCGTGAGCGGTGGGGCGAGCGTGAGCGGTGGGGCTAGCGCGAGCGGTGGGGCTAGCGCGAGCGGTGGGGCTAGCGCGAGCGGTGGGGCTAGCGCGAGCGGTGGGGCTAGCGCGAGCAGGTGGGGGCTAGCGCGAGCGGTGGGGCTAGCGCGAGCGGTGGGGCTAGCGCGAGCGGTGGGGCTAGCGCGAGCGGTGGGGGCTAGCGTGAGCGGTGGGGCTAGCAGGAGTGATGGGAGCTAGCGTTAGTGTCAGGGTTGGTGCAATCAATTTGCGAATTTTATCTCAGTAGCCAGCGTGTGTGCGTGTGTCTTTGTGCGAGTGGCTCAATGTGTGTATACACGTGTACTGTGTGTGTGGTTGGGGAGCGGGTCGTGTAGCGGTTAGCGCGTCGCGCTACGAACCTGGTGACCTGAGTTCGATTCCCACTCGCGGCCAACAGCACTGACACAGCCTCAAATGAGTACCTGGTGCGATGTGTAAACACAAACGAAGGCTGCCGGGCGTGGTGTTGACCACCCCCCCCCACCCCCCTCGGCCTTTATAGCTGCTACTTGCTAACAGCACTTGCCCGAACAGTTTGTTCAGACTATGTGAGGATTTTTGTCTTTATATTCTTGGTTCTTTCGGTAAAGTCACGTAGAACCAAGAATATGAATCCCTGCTGTCACGAAAGCTTTAAATCAAAAAAATCTTTGTGGAATGGGGGGGGGGGGGGATTTCAACTCAGGTTTTCAGCGGTTGCTGGTCGCGCGTGTCTGACATGGCCATTGCGAACCGCCTGAGAGCCACGGGGTGGTGGGGGGGCACCTTTGCCTCATCGTTTTCCTATCACGGCTTTGATTATCCGATCGCCCGCTGGCAAAATGACCTTCACAGTGCGTGCGTGCGTTGCTGTTGTGTCAATTGCATTCATCGTCAGAGGGCATGAGCACGTGTGTGAGCACATGTGTGAGCACGCGTGTGTGTGTGCGCGCGTGAGCACGTGTGTGTGCGCGCGCGCGTGAGCACGTGTGTGTGTGTGTGTGCGCGCGTGAGTACGTGTGTGTGTGAGCACGTGTGTGAGCACGTGTGTGTGCGCGCGTGAGCACGCGTGTGTGTGTGTGCGCGTGCGCACGCGTGTGTGCGTGTGAGCACGTGTGTGTGCGCGCGCGCGTGAGCGTGTGTGTGTGCGCGCGCACGTGAGCACGTGTGTGTGTGTGCGCGCGTGTGAGCACGTGTGTGTGCGTGCGCGCGAGAGCACGTGTGTGTGCGTGCGCGCGAGAGCACGTGTGTGTGCGTGCGCGCGTGAGCACGTGTGTGTGCGTGCGCGCGTGAGCACGTGTGTGTGTGTGCGCGCGCATGAGCACATGTGTGTGTGTGTACATTAGCATGTTAGGGAGCGGGTCGTGTAAGCGGTTAGCGAACTGCGCTACGAACCCGGCGACCAGAGTTCAATTCCCCGCTCCCGGCCAACAACAGTGGCGGATATCTGAACATCAGCACTGGGGAGACAAAGGTGGCCGGGCTTTGCGTTTGTCACACCGCCCCTTCGTGTGCCGTGCCGGCCTTCGTATATCTTAATCGCTAACAGCACTTGCCCAGACAGTCCGCTAAAGGCTATACGGGGAATCTTTGTCTGTCTTGTGTCTGCATCGCGTTACTTTGTTCGTCCTGTCAGTCCACTTGCCGGTCTGTGCGTCTCTTCCAGAAGTCATCTGTGTGTCTGTTGTGACCCCAGTGTCCGTTCTGTCTCTTGTCATGTGTCCCTCACGTCTCATTGATGTCTTCTGTGTCTCATTCACATGTCTATCTCCTGAATTTTTCACTGCCTCGTCTCTCTATCTTTAGTATCTGTCTGCGTATCCGTATCTCATTCCTTGCCGTCTGTCTCGTGTTTGTCTCCTGTCGCGATGATGCTTCTGGTCTCGTGTCTCTCCATCTCATTCAGTGCCTCTGTTTCATTCATCCCCCTCATTCGTGTCTGTCCGGTTGTCTCCTCTCATTCTCGTCTCATTCTTCATCTTGTTTGCGATTTGCCGAGTCGGCCGTGATGAATGATCGCCACGTTTTTATTAAAAGTCTTCCCCTCTCTCTGTCTCTCCCTCTCTCCCTCTTTTTATTCCTCACTCGTCTCTCCCCCCCGCTCTCCCTCCCATTCTTTTTCTCCCACTCTCCCCCCCGCTCTCCCTCCCGCTCTCCCCGCCCGGCAGAGTCAATCTACCGGCGTGGGGCCCGGCGCTGGAGGAAGCTCTACCTTGTGAACGGGCACACCTTCCAGGCCAAGCGATTCAACCGGGTACGCACCAGGTGGTCCGCACCCGGCCACAGAGTCACCGGGTCACAGAGTCACCGGGTCACAGAGTCACCGGGTCACAGAGTCACCGGGCCACAGAGTCACCGGATCACAGAGTCACCGGATCACAGAGTCACCGGATCACAGAGTCACCGGGTCACAGAGTCACCGGGTCACAGAGTCACCGGGTCACAGAGTCACCGGGCCACAGAGTCACCGGGCCACAGAGTCACCGGATCACAGTCACCGGGTCACAGAGTCACAGAGTCACCGGGTCACAGAGTCACCGGGTCACAGAGTCACCGGGTCACAGAGTCACCGGATCACAGAGTCACCGGGTCACCGGGTCACAGAGTTACCGAGTCACCGAGTCACCGGGTCACCGGGTCACAGAGTCACCGGGCCACAGAGTCACCGGGCCACAGAGTCACCGGGCCACAGAGTCACCGGGCCACAGAGTCACCGGGCCACAGAGTCACCGGGCCACAGAGTCACCGGGCCACAGAGTCACCGGGCCACAGAGTCACCGGGCCACAGAGTCACCGGGCCACAGAGTCACCGGGCCACAGAGTCACCGGATCACAGAGTCACCGGATCACAGAGTCACCGGATCACAGAGTCACCGGGCCACAGAGTCACCGGGCCACAGAGTCACCGGGCCACAGAGTCACCGGGCCACAGAGTCACCGGGCCACAGAGTCACCGGGCCACAGAGTCACCGGGCCACAGAGTTACCGGGCCACAGAGTCACCGGGCCACAGAGTCACCGGATCACAGAGTCACCGGATCACAGAGTCACCGGATCACAGAGTCACCGGTTCACAGAGTCACCGGGTCACAGAGTAACCGGGTCACAGAGTAACCGGGTCACAGGGTCACAGGGTCACAGGGTCACCGGGTCACAGAGTCACCGGGTCACAGAGTCACCGGGTCACAGAGTCACCGGGTCACAGAGTCACCGGGTCACAGAGTCACCGGGTCACAGAGTCACCGGGTCACAGAGTCACCGGGTCACAGAGTCACCGGGTCACCGGGTCACCGAGTCACCAGATCACAGAGTCACCGGATCACAGAGACACCGGGTCACCGGATCACAGAGTCACCGGGTCAGAGTCACCGGGTCACCGGATCACAGAGTCAACGGATCACAGAGTCACCGGATCACAGAGTCACCGGGTCACAGAGTCACCGGGTCACAGAGTCACCGGATCACAGAGTCACTGAGTCACCGGATCACAGAGTCACCGGGTCTGAGTCACCGGGTCTGAGTCACCGGGTCTGAGTCACCGGGTCTCAGAGTCACCGGGTCACAGAGTCACCAGATCACAGAGTCACTGAGTCACCGGATCACAGAGACACCGGGCCACAGAGTCACCGGTCTCAGTCACCGGATCTCAGTCACCAGGTCACAGAGTCACCGGATCACAGAGTCACAGAGTCACTGGGTCACAGACTCACCGGTCACCAAGTCACCGGATCACAGAGTCACCGGGCCACAGAGTCACCTGTTCACCGGGTCGCAGAGACACCAGGCCACCGGTTTGGCGACCCCCGTCTCACTGTCGGCGCACGTGGAGGACACGTCTCGTTAAGCCGGTCGGCCCGTGCTACGGCGACCCCCGACAGGGGACGCCTGCCTCCGGTGGCCGCCCGCTCATTACCCGGCGTGCCCCGGCGTGCCACGCCGTGGGAGCTGTTGCTTCCTGGGGAGGTCCCGGCTGTCCGAGGGTATGGGGTCGGAGTGCCCTGAGGGAGGGGTCCCCACTCCCCTGTAGGATCTAGTGAGAGGCTATGGGGTCAGGGCACCCCTAGGTTAGGGTCCCCACTCCCCTATAGGGTCTAGTGAGAGGCTATGGGGTCAGAGCGCCCTGAGGGAGGGGTTCCCACTCCCCTGTAGGGTCAAGGGAGAGGCTGTCTCCCTCCAGCCAGATCAAAACAAACGGCACAGGACAGAATCGCGCTGAAAAAACCTATGGGGGGGAGGCCTTGATCCCAGCATGCATTGAGATAATTTCGATTCTTTTGCTGCTATAAATGTCCAAATGATGGGCCACTTTGTTGAGCTATCATTTCTTTGTGGTGGCCAGGTCGCTTCAGAATAATAAATTAATACCTTGGTGGGCTTTGCCTGGTAGGATGGGGATGGTTTCGTTGAATTTGTTTGTGTTTGGGTGATGTGTTTACCTTTCTTGTACTTTGCACCACTTTCGTGTTTGTTTTTGTAACGTTCTTACCCCGTGGCCCTACTGGACATCTGTGAAAAAGAGTCGCATAGCTCATCGGAATCCTCCTGTAGCATCAACACAGATTCTGGATTGATCGTGGCCAATGCGGGGGGATAGAGGCTCTCCTGCTGCCTCCCGCTCTCTGCACATCTCTCGCGATCTCTCCCACTGCCGCTCCTACAGCTCCACTTTCTCAGACTCTCTCCCACTTCACCTCCCACTCTGCTTGTGCCTGCCTCCCTCTGTCTCTCTCTCTCCCACTATCACGTCTCCTAACCCACTCTTTCCTCCCCCCCTCCTCCTCCTCTCCCACTATCTCCCATTATCTCTTCTCCTTTCCCACCTGTAAAACAAAGATTACCGGCTTCAATCAGCATATTCCCCCAGGGGTTACCAGCAGTAAAAACAAGCGCTCCCACGCTCCCGTAATTTCTGCCGCTCTGTCTCCCGCTCCTCTCTCTCTTTCTCCCCATCCCCTTTCCCCACCCTGTACACACGCGGATCGATCCCCTCCTTAGCCACCAGTCGTCACGTGATTCTCTGGATTGAATTTGATTCCGAACGAATTATCTGGTGATTGCTGCCGCCGCTGCTGCTGCATGGGCAGTGGTGCACATGCACAGACAACAACAACTCAATGCGTTGTTGTTGTGTCAACATCAAAACCGTGTGTGAGACCTTAAAAGGGAGGGGTGGTGCACAGGTTAGCGTGCTGCGCTACGAACCTGGTGACCCGAGTTCGATTCCCGCTCACGGCCAACACCGGTGACGATTATCTGAACCAGTCCTGGGCCTGGTGTGGTGTCTAAACATCGCCATGAGGGAGACAAAGGTGGCCGGGCGTGTTGTTGGCCACCCCTTCCGGCCTTCATAGGTGCTAATCGCTAACATCCCTTGCCCCAGCAGTCTGTTCAGGCTACACGGGGGATCTTTATGTTTGTGTAGTGATGCACTCAGAGATACTAGGAGTAGGGGTCACCACTTCAGCCAGGACGGCTGACAGACTGCCTGACTGACAACGCCGAGAAGGTGAAGACGGTGACGAAGACTCCGGCAGCCCGACGGGATTCCAATCCAGACAACAGCCCCGAGCCTTCGCTCGGGTCCCCTTTTATCTTCCTGGCGTGGCCTCGCTCCTTCTCGAACCCACGAGTTGGTTCCCAGGCTGACCTCACGTGCCCCCTCCATCACCTTTGCCCTACATCCCTCTCGCTGGCTGTCAAGTGACCTGCTGACAGACAGGGCTGCTGCAACCGGAGATCCCTCTCTCTGCCAGCAACCAGCGCTATGCTCCATAGTGGCCCATTCCATGTCACTACATTTGTCTTAAATGGGAAACAATATACAGGGTTGCCTCAAAGTCAGAAGGCATTCGGGTCATTTCATTTATTTTAACACTGGCATTACAATCATTTAATTGGTTATTCTCTACGTGAATATTTTATCTATTTTCATTCTTAATGTCAATTTCCGTTCCTCCTGTGGGGTTACCTCAAATCTGTAGTTTACAAAACTCGACCAAGAATCCATGAAAGAACGAATCTCGACAAAGGGCAGCTGATGACCAAAAACAAAATACTTACATTCATTTCAAAAGAGAATTCATCCATCACGCATTCATATTCATGGACGTCGGTTTGAACGTTTGTTAAAACGTTAATGAAGTAACCCCTGTACGACTTGTTGAAATAATTAGAATAACCCCTTGTGTGTCCTGACTTCTGGGCCACCGCTCGGTGTTGGTGAGATGTTAACTACCTCGCCCGGTATGCAGGAGGTTGTGGGTTCGATCCCGACCCTGACTCTTGCTGTATATTTGGAGTTTGCGGTGTCTCTCTCCCCGTTGTCACGTGACGTTTTCTCCAGGTCCTCCGGTTTTTTTCCACTCCGCATAATATTAACGACATCGCCATGCGTTTACAGTATTCGGCTGCTGCTACAAATTTCCACATGATGATGACGATAAGCCACTTTGTTGAGCGATCATTCGTGACAGCCATGTCACTTCTGGAAAATGAGCTATACAGCTCAGTGGACCCTTACCTGGTGAAATAAAAATTGTTTCGATTTAGACTAACTCTTAGACTAACTCTTAGACTAACTCGACCCACCCGCCCCGTGTCCCCCCCCACCAGCGCGCATTCTGTGCCTACTGCACCGACCGCATCTGGGGGCTGGGCCGGCAGGGCTACAAGTGCATCAACTGCAAGCTGCTGGTGCACAAGCGATGCCACAAGCTGGTGGCAGTGGAGTGTGGCAGGAACATGGTAAGAGGGGCGCACGTGCGCACGGGCGAAGGTACCTGTGGTAGCTTCTGGCAGGCCGGTGGGGGTGGGGGGGAAGTGGCGTTGGCGAGCGGCACGTATGAAAGCGGTCACGGCGCGGTGTAGCGTTGTGAATGCGCGTCCGCGTCATTTATTGGGTTTTCAATCGTGGGATGACCCGGCGCTACGCTGCGACGACAACGATCGTCGTCGAACGACAACGACAACGATGGAGATGACAACGATGTTGACGACGATGAGGATGACTCCGACCGACGACGATGGGGAGGACAACGATGTTGACGACGATGATATTTGACTCCGTTGATAGAGATAATTACGAGTATGAACGATGGGGACGATGTTGATACAAAAGGTAATGATGATTTAAATCGTCATGATTATGATGACAATCATGGTAACGATGGTGATGACGATGCTGCTGATGGTTATTGATTTTATTATGGTAATAATTACGATGATCATGATGATGACAGTGACGATTTTTATACCGATGATGATGATTTTAATCCTCATGATTATGACAATCACGCTGATGGTGGTTGAGATTATTATGGTTATGGATGATGATGATCCACGTTGCTGCGGATTATGATAAGAAGGATTTGAAACCTCTGGAGTTTGATGATAATAATAATGCTGATGGTGGTTGCGATTATAACGGTTATGGATGGTGGTGCTGGCGGTGGCCGTAGTGGTTGCAGTGGTGGTGGTAGTGATTATTGTGTTGATGATGGTAATGGTGCTGGTGATGATGATGATGGTAGTGATGATGGTGGTGTTGATAATGGTGATGGGGTGGTGGTGGTGTTGATGATGGTGATGTGGTGGTGGTGGTGGTATTGATGGTGGTGATGGTGGTGGTGATGATGATGTGATGGTGGTGTTGATGATGTGATGGTGGTGTTGATGATGTGATGGTGGTGTTGATGATGGTGATGTGGTGGTGGTGGTGGTATTGATGATGGTGGTGGTGATGATGATGATGTTGATGATGATGGTGGTGATGGTGGTGATCACCCACGCGGGATACTAACGACGGTGATTGTGAATGCCAGGAGCCCACGACGCTACCGAGCCCTCACCAGCACAGCAACCAGGACAGCGTGCACTCTGACGACATCGAGAACATCCCGCCGGGAGAGGGCAGCACAGGTCAGGCGGAATCCGATGAGCTGCGAAGCTCTTGTCTCACCGATGTTCCAGTCGGGCGGCGGGTTGTCGTCCAGTTTACAGCAACAATTAAAAAACAACGATACGAGTTGAAAAAAAATGGAGGAAAGGGGAATAGCTAAAAATAAGTAAATATAAACAAAGTATTATAATAAATAATAATGATAATTCAAGGGTAAGCAAGTGACTAAAATATAAACAAAGTAGGGGAGGCGTCGGACTCGGACGATAGGCCGGGCTCGGGAGTCTACGACGGCCTGTCTCTCTACAGGGAGACAGGGACACACGTGGACACGCGTATACAGCAGGCTCTGAGATGCAGCCGTGGTACAAGTGTCCAACTCCCATCCCCTTCCGTGGAGATGGAGCCGCGAGAATCGTGTTCGGGACATAATAATACTACTAACATTCATACGGCACTTTTCATCAAGGATCTCAAAGCGCTGTACACAGGACGCAGCAGCAGCAGACACTCAGCATGAACATAATTATGTTATAAATACATTTGAAGAATCCCATTTACTCTAATGAACCAAAGGTTTAGTAAGAGGAATGGTATATAAATAAAAAATGCCCACAGGCTCAGAGGGATCACTCTGATGTCTTGTGGGAGAGCGATCCGTGGCCTGGGGGCGACACGGGGACAACGCCTCGGTCACCCGCAGAGCGAAGATGCCGGGACGCAGAGACAACATCAGCACCACCACGTCTCAGGGGCCTTGAGGGGGGGCACGTGGGGGTGCAGCATGGCAATGATGGAGGCCGGGGCAAGATGGTTCACTGCTTTGTGAGTTAACAATAGGATTTTAAACTGGATTCCACGTGAAGCTGGAAGGCAGTGAAGGAGGGAGGCCAACGCGTGCGTAGCACGATGTGACGGAGGAGGAGTTCTGGTTCACACAACCCGAGCAGCAGCCGCCGCCGTTGCGCAAGGGAGCTTCTTCAAGGCGCTTCGCACGCGACGGGCGACGACCTGCACGTCGTGCCTCACATTTTTGAAAGGGCATCTCTCCCTCACCCCCCCAGCGGTCGCTGTCCCTGTGCGGCACGGTGCGGCTCGGCACCGTGCCTGCGAGTGGGGGCCAGCGAGGGGGGGGGGCGACGATTGCTGCTGCTGTCTGTGATCGTGATTTGAGTGTCAGTGAACACACAATTCGGCCTCCCACACACCACACACACATGCAGCTCTCGTTCAGTATGTAAGGGATATTTGTACACATCCCATCTCGGGTTACCGGCGTGCCCATATCCGGCGCCCAGCCGCGGGCGAGCAGATCCGTGGGCACCCCCACATTTTCCAGGATGTGGAGGAGTCGGCCCTTCCGCCAGCAGTGGCGTGAGCGTGGCGAGTGGGGCGCAGCCCTGCAAGCCCCCCTGGCTCTCGTGCCGGCGCCGGTGACCGGTCAGCTCAGAGGCCGGTTGAACCCCCACCCCACGTGGGGGTGGGGGGGGGTGAATCCAGGTTCTCGACCGTGCCTGCTCGGTGCTCTGCCACGCCAGGACCTGGCCATTGTGAACCCAGCCGGCCGTCTCGACACTTGTGCGGTTGTTGACATTTTGTTGTTGTTGTTTTATATTTTTCCCTTGCAGACCAACCCTACAGGGTGCCAAACAGCGGCAAACCAGAAGAGGTGAGATGCTTTGTCTTCGCTTTGACACCAGGCTGCGTCATTGCTGTGCCTGTAATCACTCAGGCACGCCGTTCAATGTTTTAGCTTTGGAAGTAAACATTTTTTCCTGAATTTTATTTTACATGCATTGGATACCACTTGCATCCACCCTTTCAACCAACCATCCATTCATCCACATGTTTGTCCATCCATCCATTTGTCCATCTATCCAACCAACCATCCGCATGTCCGTCTATCCATCCATCTATTTATCCATCCATCCATTCAACCAACCATCCATCTTGCCATCTATCCATCCGTTTGTCCATCCACCCATCCATCCGTCCGACCATCCAACCATCCCTTAATCCACATGTCCGTCCATCCAACCGCGCGTCTTGTCTGGCCCGTCTGCACCCCCTTCCCGTCTCCCCCAGCTTCCGCAGGGCGGGAGGCAGGCGCACGCAGGCCTGGGCCTGCCGGACTTCGACCTGATCCGCGTGATCGGGAGAGGCAGCTACGCCAAGGTGCTGCTCGTGCGGCTCAAGCAGACCCAGAGGATCTACGCCATGAAGGTCGTCAAGAAGGAGCTCGTCAACGACGACGAGGTGGGGGTGGGGGTGGGGGGGGAGAGGAGGTTGTGGGGGTGGAGAAGGTTCCGTGCGTGGCTGGCCAGGTGGCCTCCGGTGATGTCACGCGTTTGTGCCGGAGAGGCCCCGGGGGGAGCTTTGATGGCCGACGTGAAACTTACAATACAAAAAACTGTCAAACTATTTTTACTTTACTAGGCAAGCCCCACTGTACTGTATCACTCTTTCAGAAGCGACCTGGCCAAGCGGCTTCTTGCGTGGAAATTTATAGCAGAAATACTCTTAAAAGCCTCTTTCTGAATGTGGCGGGAAATCCACATGACCACGGGGAGAGAGCCACGCAAACTCCAATACACAGGCGTCAGGGTCGGGATCAAACCCACTAACCCACCACCTCCTGTATACGAGGAGGTGAGGGAGTTAAAATCTTGCCGCCATGGCTCCCAGTTTAGCTAGTGGTGTTGCGTCACGTGACGTAGCATCCAATTGGATCTTGCGCAGAGCAGTGCGGCCATGCACGTTGGATGATGGTCCCCACACTCCTTGGTGTTCGACAACGGCCCACAATCCTTTGCATTATAGAATGGTCCACAATCCTTTGCATTACAGAACGGCCCTCACAATTCTTCACGTTAGAGAGCAGCCCCCAATCCTTTGCGTGAGAGACCGGCCCAACAGCCCTCAATCCTTTGTGCCAGAGAACGACCCAATGGAGCAGATATCACATCCCTTCAAGTGACCTCTGCTACACAAAGCAGGGGAGGGGGGGTGGGGGGACAGCATTTGCCCACCCGCCCTGCTGCACGAGAGTAACAATGCCAAAGATCCCCCGTGTAGCCTTAACAGACTGTAGGAGCAAGTGCTGTTAACGAGCACCTTTGAAGGCCGGCACGGCACACGAGGGGGTGAGTGGCCAGCACCACGCCCGTCCGCCTTTGTCTCCCCAGTGGCGATGTTTACACACCGCACCAGGTACTCATTTGAGGCTGAGTCGACCTAGGAGAGGCCCAGGACCGGTTCAGATAATCGTCACCGGTGTTGGCTGTGAGCGGAAATCGAACCCGGATGGCCGGGTTCATAGCGCAGCGCGCTAACCGCTACGCTACCGCTCCCGCACCACAGACGCTCGACCCCGACAGTCCGTTAACGCTGTACGGGGGGTGGGGGATCTCTTTGCCTTTGTGCGCAGGACATAGACTGGGTGCAGACGGAGAAGCACGTGTTTGAGCAGGCCTCCAACCACCCGTTCCTCGTGGGCCTCCACTCCTGCTTCCAGACGGACAGCCGGTGAGCAGCACTTCCGCGTTCGAACCGGGGAAGTAGAACCACGCGTACGGACGAATTCCCGCCGGCACTTGCCGACGCGTGGCCTTGCCCCGGGAGTGTTGATTGGGTGACGACGACGCTGCCGCTCTGCTCTTGGCCAATACCGGTGACGATTATCTGAACCGATCCTGGACCTCCCCTAAGTCGACTTAGCCTCAAATGAGTACCTGGTGCGGTGTGTAAACATCGCCACTGGGGAGACAAAGGCGGCCGGGTGTGGTGCTGGCCACCCGCCCCCTCGTGTGCTGTGTCGGCCTTCAGAGGTGCTCGCTAACAGCACTTGCCCCAACAGTCTGTTAAGGCTATATGGGGGAATCTGTCTTTGTATGTTTGTGCGTATGTGTGCGCGCGTGTGTGTGCGCGCGCGTGTATGTGCGCGCGTGTGCGTGCGTGTATGTGCGCGCGTGTATGTGCGTGTCCGTGTATGTATGTGTGTGTGTGCGCAGGCTCTTTTTCGTCATTGAGTACGTGAACGGTGGAGATCTGATGTTCCACATGCAGCGACAGCGCAAGCTTCCCGAGGAGCATGCCCGGTAGGTCAACTCCCCAGTCACGCACACAGATCAAGCCCCTAGTCACTCCATCTCTCCGTGTGACGTTTATCGTCTCTCCGTGTGAATTCTCCGTCTCTCCGCGTGACGTCTCCGTCTCTCCGCGTGATGTCTCCGTCCCTCTCCCGGTGGCTCTGCGTGTAGGTTCTACGCGGCTGAGATTTCGCTTGCGCTCAACTTCCTGCACGAGCGCGGGGTCGTGTACCGTGACCTCAAGCTGGACAACGTGCTGCTCGACTCGGAGGGGCACATCAAGCTCACAGACTACGGCATGTGCAAGGTGCGTGGCGCATCCACGTGTCTTTGTGCGTGTCTCCGCGTGTGCCTGCTTATGTGTGTGTGTGTCTGTATACGTCTGTGTGTGCGCATGTGTGTGTGTACGTGTGCGTCTCTTCGCGTGTCTGTGCATGTCTGCGTGTGAATGGCGGTTATTATTGTTATATTGTGTGCATCCGCATTTTTGCGCGTATACGTGTATGTTGACCTTCTTTCGCGCCGTGCGTAGCCAACCGTGCTAATCAGAGGCGCGGGACAATGTAGGTGTGGTGGCGCAGTGGTTAACGCGCTGCGCTACGAACCCGGCGACTCGAGTTATGGCATCATTCAATGGCGATTACTTGAACTAGTTTCGGATCGTCTTCTTCTCATCAGCTTGTTAAATAACTTTTGCTGTGTTACAAGATGTAATAGGCATGAGCACCCCCATCCAAAATGTAAGGCCCTGTTCAACGTAAAACAAAAATCCGTATTGTACAGACACTCATGTTGTGTTCCCGTGGAGCTTTTAGGTAAAACTAAATTCAGGTTCCAGCTCGCTCTACACGGGCTCGGTTTGTGTGCGATTCCGCATCCTCTATATGTGGTGGCTCCACCTATCTTTGCCCATAAATGTTCTGTACTATGGGGTTTCATTTCACTCGTACGCAGCTACACATTCGGACGTGGGACAACATTTTGCAGTGTACTGTGTGTACCGTGTGTACTGTATGCACTTCTTGGCAAGCAGCTGTCTCACACAGATACATCCAGTGTGTTACTGTGTGTGCTGTATGCGCTACTCGACAGGCAGCTGCCGCCTCGTGCCGTGTCGCTTTGTGGGCCCTTCTTGAAATGCATCGACTATTACTGCTGCCACCACGTAGAGCGAGGGAAGCCTCTCTCAGCAGATCTCCATTCCGTGGTCTCTGCATTGAAGCCCGTCGGCCTATTAGCATTCTGCTGATGAGACCCAGAATGTTGAAACCATTCCAGAGTTCGCTTGCGTCAGCGCACGCTGCTGGATCTTATTGGTCTGGAAATCCGGTAGGCTGAGATTTAATTTATTAGTATTACCCAGAGGCCCCGCTGAGTCTTAAGGCTCTTAGTGGAGCGATGCTGCTGCTGTGTCTGAACGTGCATGCGCACGTTCGTGCACTTGGTTGACGTCCTCGCGCTTGTCTCTAGGAGGGGCTGAGACCGGGAGACACGACCAGCACCTTCTGCGGGACGCCCAACTACATCGCTCCCGAAATCCTGCGCGGGGAGGAGTACGGTACGCGTCGAGCCTGCTGGCGAGTTAGCGAGCGCCTATTTAAGCCGGCCCCACCGGTCAGGGCCCCCCCCAGGACGACGGCGCGCTGGATGGCGACGGCGTCGTCGTCCGCGTGAAACGTCCTTTAGGATTGTTCAGATTATTTCGAGTATTTGGCCGCTGTAAATGTCCACGCGATAAGCCACTTCGTTGAGCTTTCGTTTGCGATGGCTTCTGCAAAATTACCAAATAGCTTGGTGGGTTTTTTCCTGCTAAAAATAGTTTGGTATAATTTATATTTTTTGTTGTAGTGATTTGCTTACCCTTGATATACTTTGCACTCCTGTCACGTTTTGTGTAATGTTTGTTGTTGTAATGTCCTGAGCCGCTCCTACTTGGAAACATCCGTTGGGATCGTTTAGATTATGTACAGTATTTAAGCCGCTTTAAATGTAACAATGCGATGAGCCGCTTCGTTGACCCATCATTTGTGATAGTCAGGGTGGCTTCTGAAAGAGAAGCGGATACCTCGGTGGGCTTTACCTGGTAAAATAAAACATAGTTTAGTTTAATTTGTATTTTGTAGTGATTTGCTTACCTTTGCTATACTTTGCGCTGCTGTCGTATTTTATTTGCGTATCGTTTGTTGTCGTAACGCCCTGGCCCAATCCTTGCTGGACATCTGTTTATAAAGAGCTTCATAGCTCATCGGATTCTCTGCCGTGTGGCGGACGGGCCGTGTCTCCCCCGTGGCGCGCAGGGTTCAGCGTGGACTGGTGGGCGCTGGGTGTGCTCATGTTCGAGATGATGGCGGGCCGCTCGCCCTTCGATATCGTGGGGATGATGGACAACCCGGACCAAAACTCGGAGGACTACCTCTTCCAAGGTTAGACTCCTGCTGGGACGGGGTGGTGGGGGGGAGGGGAGCGTGGTGGCACTGTAGGTTACGATCGCTGTGCCAGATGGGTGGGCGTCATGGTGTGGTGGCACTGTGTGGTTACGATCGCTATGCCAGGGGGGGTGGGTGTGGTGGCACTGTGTGGTTACGATCGCTGTGCCAGGGGGGGTGGGTGCGGTGGCACTGTGTGGTTACGATCGTTGTGCCAGGGGGGGTGGGTGTGGTGGCACTGTGTGGTTACGATCGCTGTGCCAGGGGGGGTGGGTGCGGTGGCACTGTGTGGTTACAATCGCTGTGCCAGGGGGGGTGGGTGTGGTGGCACTGTGTGGTTACGATCGCTGTGCCAGGGGGGGTGGGTGCGGTGGTGCGGTGGCACTGTGTGCGCCGGTTCGACTACCGGGTGCTCGGGCGCCACGGTGCGCGTTTGGTCTCTTGCCTCGAATCGTCGGCCGATGAAATCGGCGTTGCGTCGTCACGACTCAAAGGGCCCCCTGGCAACCCTCGGTGTTATTCAGGGTACGGCCCGCGGAATTGGTTATCACAGAGCTACCTCCGAGACCCCTCCTTCAAGTCACTTCTGGTATACACAGAGCAAGGCGGCGGTACTTCCCCCACCCAGTCCCTGCCTCAGAGAGCACGCTCTGTCGCTTGAACGGTCGCTTGAAGTCAGTAATCAACCAGGTCACTCTCGCAAATGAGGCTAATCCTGGTCTCCTGGGTTCTCACCTGGCTTAACAAAAATAAAGCTGAAACTTTAGCTCACCCACCCGCTCGGTCACTCACCCACTCGCCCACCCAACCACTCACCCACCCACCCACTCACCCACCCACTCACCCACCCACTCACCCACCCACTCACTCACTCACCCACCCACCCACTCACTCACCCACCTACTCACCCACTCGCCCTTCCACTCACCCACTCACCCTTCCACTCACCCACCCACTCACCCACTCACTTACGCACTCACTTACGCACCCACTCACTCACCCACTCACTCACCTACACACTCACCTACACACTCACCTACTCACTCACCCACCCACTCACCCACTCACCCACCCACTCACCCACCCACTCACCCACCCACTCACCCACTAACCCATTCATCCACCCACTCACCCACCCACTCACTCACCCACTCACCCACTCACTCACCCACTCACCCACTCACTCACTCACCCATCCATCCACTCACTCACCCACCCACCAGACTTGTTGAGCGAATTTCCCCAGAATTTTGGATGTCATTGGCACGGCACTCCGTTTAATTGTTCACCGCGCGAACAAAGTTTACATCGCATCGCCGGCTTACAATTCCTCCCTCCTCCCAAGTTCACGCGTCAACTTGCGCTCAATCCAAGAACGACAGTGACATTTTTTTTTCAATCTTCGATCCTCTGTTACACCTTCACTAGGTAGGGGGGGGGCTGTTTGTTCCTGGCCTCTTGGCGTTTTTCTGGCCCCTATGCTCAGCAACCCGTGGTATAAAATTAAATCAACAGCCACATGGTGGGTGGAGGTGGGGGGTGGGGTGGGGGTTGTGGGGGGTAGTGGGGGGTGTTCCCCGTCTAGTCAGATATCCAGAGCTAAGCTGGTTTGAACCTGGCAAGTGCTTGGGATGGGCTGATGGGTGGGGGGATGGGGGGGCTACGTCATCAGCAGAGGGCCAGTGCAGCGAAATCCATTGCTAACAAAAAATGAATGTCGCACAATTCATGGGAATTGCATCTCACAACGCTGTACGATAATTATATATATAAAATGGCTAAATCCTATTTGTAACAATTATTATGAATAATGAAAGCCTGCAGAAAATAAAACATGAATTAAAACAAATCATGAAATGGCATAAAAATAGAAGGAATGAACAACAACATGAAGTCGGAGCAATGAGTCCACTCAGTGGCGACGGTGTTAGTCCCTCCCCACGATCCACGCAGCCACCGCGAAGTCGGTTGTGCTCTTGTGAGACTGTGAGGCTGTGTGGCTGTGAGACTGTGAGGCTGTGGGACTGTGTGACTGAGGCTGTGAGGCTGTGTGGCTGTGAGGCTGTGTGACTGTGAGGCTGTGTGGCTGTGAGGCTGTGAGGCTGTGAGGCTGTGTGGCTGTGTGGCTGTGAGACTGTGAGACTGTGTGGCTGTGTGGCTGTGAGACTGTGTGGCTGTGTGGCTGTGAGGCTGTGTGACTGTGTGGCTGTGAGGCTGTGACACTGTGTGGCTGTGAGGCTGTGTGGCTGTGAGGCTGTGAGGCTGTGTGGCTGTGTGACTGTGAGGCTGTGAGGCTGTGAGGCTGTGTGGCTGTGAGGCTGTGAGGCTGTGTGGCTGTGTGACTGTGAGGCTGTGAGGCTGTGTGGCTGTGTGGCTGTGAGGCTGTGAGGCTGAGTGGCTGTGTGACTGTGAGGTTGTGTGACTGTGTGGCTGTGTGACTGTGAGGCTGTGAGGCTGTGTGGCTGTGAGGCTGTGAGGCTTTGAGGCTGTGTGGCTGTGAGGCTGTGTGACTGTGTGGCTGTGTGGCTGTGAGGCTGTGAGGCTGTGTGGCTGTGTGGCTGTGAGACTGTGAGACTGTGTGGCTGTGTGGCTGTGAGGCTGTGTGGCTGTGTGGCTGTGAGACTGTGAGACTGTGAGGCTGTGAGGCTGTGTGGCTGTGAGGCTGTGAGACTGTGAGGCTGTGTGGCTGTGAGACTGTGAGACTGTGTGGCTGTGTGGCTGTGAGGCTGTGTGGCTGTGTGGCTGTGAGACTGTGAGGCTGTGAGGCTGTGTGGCTGTGAGGCTGTGTGGCTGTGAGGCTGTGTGGCTGTGAGGCTGTGTGGCTGTGTGGCTGTGAGGCTGTGTGGTTGTGTGGCTGTGAGGCTGTGAGGCTGTGAGACTGTGATGCTGTGAGGCTGTGTGACTGTGAGGCTGTGTGGCTGTGTGGCTGTGTGGCTGTGAGACTGTGAGACTGTGTGACTGTGAGGCTGTGTGGCTGTGTGGCTGTGTGACTGAGGCTGTGTGGCTGTGTGGCTGTGAGACTGTGAGACTGTGAGGCTGTGTGGCTGTGAGGCTGTGTGGCTGTGAGGCTGTGAGGCTGTGTGGCTGTGTGGCTGTGAGGCTGTGAGGCTGTGTGACTGTGAGGCTGTGTGGCTGTGTGGCTGTGAGACTGTGAGGCTGTGAGACTGTGTGGCTGTGTGGCTGTGTGGCTGTGTGGCTGTGAGGCTGTGAGGCTGTGAGGCTGTGTGGCTGTGAGGCTGTGAGGCGGTGAGGCTGTGTGACTGTGAGGCTGTGAGGCTGTGTGGCTGTGTGACTGTGTGGCTGTGTGGCTGTGAGGCTGTGAGGCTGTGTGGCTGTGAGGCTGTGAGGCTGTGAGGTTGTGTGGCTGTGTGGCTGTGTGGCTGTGAGGCTGTGAGGCTGTGTGGCTGTGTGGCTGTGAGGCTGTGAGGCTGTGAGGCTGTGTGACTGTGTGGCTGTGTGCCTGTGAGGCTGTGTGGCTGTGTGGCTGTGAGGCTGTGAGGCTGTGTGGCTGTGTGGCTGTGATGCTGTGAGGCTGTGTAACTGTGTGGCTGTGAGACTGTGTAACTGTGTAACTGTGTGGCTGTGTGGCTGTGTGGCTGTGAGGCTGTGTGGCTGTGAGACTGTGTGGTTGTGTGGCTGTGTGGTTGTGTGGTTGTGTGGTTGTGAGGCTGTGATGCTGTGAGGCTGTGCAACTGTGTGGCTGTGAGACTGTGTAACTGTGTAACTGTGTGGCTGTGTGGCTGTGTGGCTGTGAGGCTGTGTGGCTGTGAGACTGTGTGGCTGTGAGACTGTGTGGTTGTGTGGTTGTGTGGCTGTGTGGCTGTGAGGCTGTGAGGCTGTGTGACTGTGAGGCTGTGTGGCTGTGTGGCTGTGAGACTGTGAGGCTGTGTGGCTGTGTGGCTGTGTGGCTGTGTGGCTGTGAGGCTGTGCGGCTGTGCGGCTGTGCGGCTGTGCGGCTGTGAGGCTGTGTGACTGTGAGGCTGTGAGGCTGTGAGGCTGTGTGGCTGTGTGGCTGTGAGGCTGTGTGGCTGTGAGGCTGTGAGGCTGTGTGGCTGTGAGACTGTGAGGCTGTGTGGCTGTGTGGCTGTGTGACTGTGAGGCTGTGTGGCTGTGTGGCTGTGTGGCTGTGAGGCTGTGTGGCTGTGTGGCTGTGAGGCTGTGAGGCTGTGTGGCTGTGTGACTGTGAGACTGTGAGGCTGTGAGGCTGTGTGGCTGTGAGGCTGTGAGGTTGTGTGGCTGTGTGGCTGTGAGGCTGTGAGGCTGTGTGGCTGTGTGGCTGTGAGGCTGTGTGACTGTGTGGCTGTGTGGCTGTGAGGCTGTGTGGCTGTGTGGCTGTGAGGCTGTGAGGCTGTGTGGCTGTGTGGCTGTGATGCTGTGAGGCTGTGAGACTGTGTGGCTGTGAGACTGTGTAACTGTGTAACTGTGTGGCTGTGTGGCTGTGTGGCTGTGTGGCTGTGAGGCTGTGTGGCTGTGAGACTGTGTGGTTGTGTGGCTGTGTGGTTGTGAGGCTGTGATGCTGTGAGGCTGTGTAACTGTGTGGCTGTGAGACTGTGTAACTGTGTAACTGTGTGGCTGTGTGGCTGTGAGGCTGTGTGGCTGTGAGACTGTGTGGTTGTGTGGCTGTGTGGCTGTGTGGCTGTGAGGCTGTGAGGCTGTGTGACTGTGAGGCTGTGTGGCTGTGTGGCTGTGAGGCTGTGAGGCTGTGAGACTGTGTGGCTGTGTGGCTGTGTGGCTGTGAGGCTGTGAGGCTGTGTGGCTGTGAGGCTGTGAGGCTGTGTGACTGTGAGGCTGTGAGGCTGTGTGGCTTGTGGCTGTGTGGCTGTGTGGCTGTGAGGCTGTGAGGCTGTGAGGCTGTGTGGCTGTGAGGCTGTGAGGCTGTGAGGTTGTGTGGCTGTGTGGCTGTGAGGCTGTGTGGCTGTGTGGCTGTGTGGCTGTGTGGCTGTGAGGCTGTGAGGCTGTGTGACTGTGGCTGTGTGGCTGTGAGGCTGTGTGGCTGTGTGGCTGTGAGGCTGTGAGGCTGTGTGGCTGTGTGGCTGTGAGACTGTGTGGTTGTGTGGCTGTGTGGTTGTGTGGTTGTGAGGCTGTGTGACTGTGTTGCTGTGTGGCTGTGTGGCTGTGAGGCTGTGAGGCTGTGTGACTGTGTGGCTGTGAGACTGCGTAACTGTGTGGCTGTGTGACTGTGTGGCTGTGTGGCTGTGAGACTGTGTGACTGTGTGGCTGTGTGGTTGTGTGGTTGTGAGGCTGTGTGACTGTGTTGCTGTGTGGCTGTGAGGCTGTGAGACTGTGTGGCTGTGTGGCTGTGAGGCTGTGTGGCTGTGAGGCTGTGCGGCTGTGCGGCTGTGCGGCTGTGAGGCTGTGTGACTGTGAGACTGTGAGGCTGTGTGGCTGTGTGGCTGTGAGGCTGTGTGGCTGTGAGGCTGTGAGGCTGTGTGGCTGTGAGGCTGTGAGGCTGTGAGGCTGTGTGGCTGTGTGACTGTGAGGCTGTGTGGCTGTGTGGCTGTGAGGCTGTGTGGCTGTGTGGCTGTGAGACTGTGAGGCTGTGAGGCTGTGTGGCTGTGTGACTGTGAGACTGTGAGACTGTGTGGCTGTGAGGCTGTGTGGCTGTGAGGCTGTGTGGCTGTGTGGCTGTGATGGCTGTGAGGCTGTGTGGCTGTGTGGTTGTGTGGCTGTGAGACTGTGAGGCTGTGAGACTGTGTGGCTGTGTGGCTGTGTGGCTGTGAGGCTGTGAGGCTGTGTGGCTGTGTGGCTTTGAGACTGTGAGGCTGTGTGGCTGTGAGGCTGTGTGACTGTGAGACTGTGAGACTGTGAGGCTGTGTGGCTGTGTGGCTGTGAGGCTGTGAGGCTGTGTGGCTGTGTGGTTGTGTGGCTGTGAGACTGTGAGGCTGTGAGGCTGTGAGACTGTGTGGCTGTGTGGCTGTGTGGCTGTGAGGCTGTGTGGCTGTGTGGCTGTGTGACTGTGAGACTGTGTGACTGTGAGGCTGTGTGACTGTGTGACTGTGAGACTGTGTGGCTGTGTGGCTGTAAGACTGTTAGACTGTGAGGCTGTGAGGCTGTGAGACTGAGTCTGTAAGGCTGTGTGGCTGTGTGGCTGTGAGGCTGTGAGACTGAGTCTGTAAGGCTGTGTGGCTGTGACTGTGTGGCTGTGAGACTGTGAGGCTGTGCGGCTGTGTGGCTGTGTGACTGTGTGGCTGTGAGGCTGTGAGGCTGTGAGACTGTGAGGCTGTGTGGCTGTGTGGCTGTGTGACTGTGTGGCTGTGAAGCTGTGTGGCTGTGAGACTGTGTGGCTGTGAGACTGTGTGGCTGTGAGACTGTGAGACTGTGTGGCTGTGTGGCTGTGTGGCTGTGTGGCTGTGAGGCTGTGAGGCTGTGAGGCTGTGAGGCTGTGCGGCTGTGCCGATGTGCTGCTGCGTGTTCGGGTTGTGGTGCCGCTCGGGGCAACGGTTCCACTCCACGTACCGGCGGTCGCTTCAGTGACCGAACTGAAGCGCGTGGAGCGAAACGTCGGACGTCGTGTGGAAACAACGCACGGCAAGCACAGCGGGAGAGGCTCGCTCGCGGCTGACGGCTAAAAAATGTTTTTGTTCCACCTGGAAAATGGTGCACACCATGCTCTCTCTGTTTCCTGTCTCTCCTTCCTTCTTTCCATGCGTGTGTGTGTGTATGTCAACGTGTCTTGTCTCTCTTTTGCGTCAACAATCCTTGCGTGTTCTGTCCCACGTCTGTCTTCTGTCTGGTGTGTGCGTGTCTTATCCTGTGTGTCTGTGAGTATTCTGTCCCGTGTGTCTGGGTGTGTGTCCCATCCCATGCGTGTGCGTTTGTCATGGTGTGTGTGCGCGTGTGCACGTCCGAGCGCTCGCTGTGTGTTGTTGTGGGCTGGTTTCTCCAGGACACGTTTACAAAGGTAGCGCCACCCTTCCCGTAAGTGTGATACCCGTCGCTTGCTTCTCGTGCCGCATGGGATGCCGGTTGCGCCTTACTCACAAAGCGAACGTGGCCCTCGGCCCGTTAACCACATCCCGTTAATCCACCAACGCTCGCATCCCCACGGCCTCCGCCCCCCCCCCCCATCTCTCCTGTCCCCCCTGCACCTTCCAAAGGCGACGCTTTGTTGTTTGTTACTGACACGGCGGTTGCTTGTGTTGTTGGTAATTCACGTCGGCGCGGGGCGGTGAGCCGGGAGCCACTACCGCGCGCCACCACGCTTGGACGGCTTCGCCGTTGTGCCTGCCCGCTGGCGCCGCTGCCGCTCTCGGCTCTCCCTGACGGCGTTTTTGGCGGGAAACGGCGTTCGTAATTATATACGAACGCCGTTTCCCTCCGCTTCAACACGGGGCGTGGATTGCCTAAACCCCCCTCCACCAGTGGTTCTTCTTCACCTGGGGTGCATCACTCACCCCCTGGGGGTACGAGATGCCCTTTCTGGGGGTGCGAGACATGGCCAGATTCTTTTTTTAAAGGTAAATAATTAAAAACACAAATTAAGCATGGGCACGTAAGTACAACAGCTACTTTGTTTCATCAAACCCTCTGTATTTATTAACATTGTACATTTTTTACGATTGAGAACCAAAGGGGTGCAAGGCTGCAGTGAAGGTTAAGAACCACTGCCCTACAGCATCAGTGTTGGCACCAGGCAGGCAGAGCGGTGCATTCTACACCTTTACGCCCCACGTGTGTTGTGTTGCTGTGGTGGTGTTGTTGTGGTGTTGACGATTAGAATGTGCGGTACGCGCGTGTGTGTCGTTGGGTGGTGTGGCTGGGTGGTGTGGCTCGGCGCCGCTGCTGCACATTTTGACTTGTGAACGCCACGCAACGTACGGCGTTTTGCCGTTCTCTACTAACGTGCCTGTGTGAGCAACTGTGTGCGCGTGTCAGTGCACGTGTGTGAGACTACGGGGAACGGTGGTAGCGTAGCGGTTAGCGCGCTGCACTACGAACCCGGAGCCCCGAGTTCGATTCCCACTCACGGTCAACACCGGTGACGATTATCTGGACTGGTCCTGGGCCTCCCCTACGTCGATTCAACCTCAAATGAGTACCTGGTGCGGTGTGTAAACATTGTCACTTGGCGTGGTGCTGGCCACCCAACCCCCATGCTTACCTTGCCGGCCTTCATAGGTGCTCACTAACAGCACTTGCTAACGGTCTGTTAAGGCTACATGGGGGATCTTTGTCTTTGCAAGTGTTCGTGTAAGCGTGTACAAGCATGTGTTTGAATGTACATGGCAATTCGCATGCTAGTTTTGAACTTGTGATTACGTGTATATGTGTTGGCACAGTAGGGGGCACAGCTGGTACTTCTGCCAGTCAGTCAACCCATGGCACCTGGGTCTATCCCCATGACCTCACTATCAGTCAGCCTTCGGCACTTCACGTGGCCTCAAAATGCACCTGGCTTGGCACAGGCGCCGTGGTGACGTCACCGCCACTTAGTGGCGAACGGCGGTTGTTGTGCGTATGGGTGGTGAACATCCAATTTCTTTCTAATATACTCTTAGGTTATTTCGGTAAAGTCACGTAGGTAAAAAAATAATAAAATAAAATAATAATAAATGTGATTTTATTTAGTTATTTTCATTTATTATTATTTTTTACCTACGTGACTTTACCGAAGAACCTAAGAGTATGAATCCTTGCAGTCACGAAAGCTTCAAATCTAGAATTATTTCTAATATATTTACGGGGTCATTCGCCCCCCAACACCCCCCACCCACAATATACACGACACCCGATATGTCCATCCGCATAATTCCCAGGGCACTCCGCTATGCGCATGCGAGGAACGCTTTCTGCAAAGCAACAACCCGAGCGGTCATTTGTATGACGACGCCGCCGCCGCAGAAAGAGCAGCGGAGGAGGGGGATTGGGTGGTTATAACGTGGCCACTCGAGGCCCGGAGCGCTCGCTGGGCGGAGGGACCCACGGCTCTTCAATGGGGGGGCGGGGTGCGGGGTGGCAGGCCAGCCCCGGGCCCAGCGGCGGTGCCCCGGCTAGTGCCAGGAGAGTAACGCGGCGCGTCGTGCCACGGGCCCCCCTCTCTCTCGTTGGCACAGTGATTCTGGAGAAGCAGATCAGGATCCCGAGGTCCCTCTCGGTGAAGGCGGCCAACGTGCTCAAGGGATTCCTCGACAAGGTGCGGGAGACGCCAGCTTGCCGCGCGTGTCTCTGTGTGCGTGTCTGTTGGATGTATGTGTGTGTCTCTGTGGGTGTCTGTGTGTCTGTGGGTGTGTGCTGGTGTGTTTAGGTGGGGAGCGTTAGTGTAGCGGTTAGCGCCCTGCGCTACAAACCGGTGACCCGAGTTCGGTTTCCGCTCACGGCCAACATCGGTGACGAATATCTGAACCGGTCCTGGGCCTCCCCTAGATCGACCCAGCCTCAAATGAGTACCTGGTGTGGTGTATAAACATTGCCACCCACCCCCTTAAGTACCGTTCTGGCCTTCATAGGTGCTCATTAACAGCACTTGCCCCAACAGTCTGTTAAGGCTATACGGGGATCTTTGTGTGTATCTGTTTCTGTGGGAGGGAAGCTCACAACAACAAGCTTAGCGCAGGATGGCTAAAACACAGCCAGTTGGCACAGTGGGGAGCATAGGTGGTGCATCTCCCAGTCATCTCAAGTCAGTGACCTGCTGGCAGCGAGCCTTTCAGGCTTCCCGTCACGGCCTTAAAGTGCACCGAGCCTGGCACAAAGGCTGTAGTGGTGTCATAGCCACTTAGTGGCGAATAGCTGCTGTTGTTGTACATATCTGTGTGTATCTGTACATGTCTAGATACCTGCTTGTGAATGTGTTTATCTCCATGTGTGTCTGTCTATCTGTGTGTGTGTGTCGATATGAAAGTTGCAAGCGAGAATTTCATCATCGCTTACGGCTGGGGTTGGCATCGTCCCCCACTCATCCTGATGTCGAGGGTAAATAGGGCGAGGTTTAGGACTGTGACTCATGCAGCTGCAATGGCTGCTTTGGGTACGCGGTCCAGACCTCCCCAGAGACCCGGGCTGACAGAGGAGGTGTTCAGGATGGTTGAGAAAAAGCGACAGGCCCACTCTAATCGTCTACAGCATCCCACGTCAGAGAATGAGGAGGCTTACCGCAGCCTTCGCTCGGAGGTTCGGAGAGCCGTGAGGCGCTGCAAGGATGGGTGGTGGTCGCGGGTTGCTGACGAGGTGGAGTCTTCCTCAGTAGCCTGCGATCACAAATCACTATTTAACTCCATCAAAAAAGTAACCTGCAGCACCACACCTATTACATCATTAGGGGAAAAACGGTAATACAATCTCTGACCCCCATGAACAGGTTTGCAGATTTGCTGAGCATTTCTGTGAGGTCCTGGGGGAGGGAAAAGCCTTCAGCCAGGAAAACATCATGGCACAAAGTGGGGATGACCCTGCTGAGGCTGCGGTGTCACCCCCTGTGAGTGGCTGGCTGAGGTGCCGTCTGTTCAGGAAGTATTGAAGGCGATCCAGAGTCTGAGACCAGGAAAGGCACCGGGCAGAGATGATTTCCCAAGCGAAATGCTGAGGGAGGGTGGCGTTTGGGCACAGACTGCCCTACATGACATCATAACAACAGGCTGGACCACTGGACGGGTTCCGCAGGTTTGGAAGGATGCCCTGGTGGTCCCCCTCTTTAAGAAGGGGACCGTACCGACTATAACAACTACAGGGGGCATCTCACTCCTCAGTGTGCCGGGAAAGGTCCTGGCAAGGATTATTCAACATCGCCTTGCTAGGCACACTGAGGAGAGGCTTGTGGAGCCCCAATGTGGTTTCAGGAAAGGGCGGTCCTGCACAGATGCCATATTTTCTGTCCGTCTGCTACAGCAGAGGTGTAGGGAATTCCAACAAGACCTACATCTCTGCTTTATTGACCTGGTCAAGGCCTATGATACCATCAGTAGGCCTGGGCTCTGGGTTGTTCTTCGTGCTTTCGGAGTCCCTGACCCTCTGCTCACGATCATTAAGGACCTTCATGATGGTGAGCGGGCCCGGGTAAAACTACGTGGCTGGGAGTCAGAGCCATTCCCTGTGCACCTTGGGGTGCGACATGGATGTCCTCTGGCTCCCACATTATTTAACATCTATTTTGACCACGTAGTTCATGAAGCCTTCAGTAGCTGTACCGGCGGAATTTCCATCTGGTACAGATGCAATGGGAGGCTGATCGATGCCCGGGTTTGGTCAAGGGCTCCCTATTGGTCAACCACGTTATGTATGCCGACGACCTGGTAATTGCAGCTCACTCAGAGGAGGAGTTGGAGGCGCTGCTGCTGAAACTGGAGTGTGCCACTAAGAGGTGGGGCCTTACCATCAGCCTCACCATAACGAAGCACCTGCCTGGGTATTTTGTACCATTGGGCACTCCACCCCCACAACTCCCAATCGGTGATGGGGCAGTTGTGGAGAGAGTGGAGAGTTTCCCATACCTGGGCAGTGTGCTCATGACCGGCTCCGGTTTAACAGCAGAGGTCTCACTCCGAATCAGTCGAGCGGCATTATCTTTTCATCGGTTGCGTAACGCTGCGTGGAAGCTACCTGGTCTGTCGCTCCGCACGAAGCTTCGGGTCTTCTCAGCCACGGTCATTCCCTCCCTTCTCTACGCTTGCGAAACGTGGACCTCCCTAATAGAACATCTTCGCCGGTTAGAAACATTTAGGCTGGCCTACCTACGATCAATCCTGGGTTTAACCAGGCTGGATTGTGTGAGAAGCTCACAAATCCTCGAAAGATCTGGGCAAAGTCCCATCGGTGAGCACCTCCGGCAGGCAAGGCTGCATTGGCTGGGCCATGTAGTCCGTATGCCCAATCACCGCATGCCCAAACACCTTTTGTTCGGCCGGATCGACGGGGCTAAACGGGCGCGGCACGGGCTAGAGAAGAGATGGAGTGACGTGGCACAGGAGGATGTGGCACTGAGTGGACTTGCCGATGACTGGTACCAGTGGTGTCAAGATCGGCCTCTGTGGAGGAGGCTCGTGAAGGACGCTACTGGGCAGTTGGAGGCAGTCGCCCTCCAACAACAACAGAGGGTGGAGGAGCGACGCTCACAACAACGAGCGGAGCGCCGGGTGGATAAGGCACAGCAAACTGGCACAGGTGGTGCATCAGTAAGTCATCTCAGTCGACCTGTGGAACCTGGGTCTGCCCCGTGACCTGCCAGCTGGCGTTCGACACTTCACGTGGCCTCAACGTGCACATAGCCTGGCACAAGCGTCGTGGTGACTTTACCGCCACTTAGTGGCGAATGGCAGTTGTTGTTGTCTAACTCCATGTGTGTATGTGTCTATCTTTTAGTGTGTTTGTGTCTATCTTCGAGTGTGTGTCTATCTCCGTATATGCGTATATGTCCATCCCCCTGTGTCCGTGTGCTCAGGACCCCCGGGAGAGACTCGGCTGCCATCCCCAGACGGGTTTCGCTGATATTCAGAGCCACGCGTTCTTCCGCACGATTGCGTGGGACATGGTGCGTCTCTCTCTCTGTCTCTCTACCTGTCCCACTTATCACACACTCGCTCAGACAATCGGATAGACTTACACATATATGCACAGATATACACCGACACGCACAGACTTCCACAGACAATCACAGATGTACACAGACATACACAAACTTACACAGATACTCACCGATGTACACAGAGACTCATAGACTTACACAGACACTCAAGACTTACACAGACAGTCACAGACTTACACAGACAGTCACAGACTTACACAGACACTCACAGACTTACACAGAGACTCACAGACTTACACATAGACTCACAGACACTCACATACACTTACAGATTCATACAGACTTACACAGACACAGACTTACACAGACACTCAAGACTTACACAGACACCCACAGACTTACACAGAGACTCATAGACCTACACAGACACTCACAGACTTACACAGAGACTCATAGACTTACACAGACACTCACAGACTTACACAGAGACTCACAGACTTACACAGAGACTCACAGACTTACACAGAGATTCACAGACGCTCACATACACTTACAGATTCATACAGACTTACACAGACACAGACTTACACAGACACTCATAGGCTTACACACACGCACAGACTTCCACAGACAATCACAGATGTACAGACATACACAAACTTACACAGACACTCACCGATGTACACAGATACTCACAGACACTCACAGACACTCACAGACTTACACAGACACTCACAAACTTACACAGACACTCACATACTTACACAGACACTCACAGACTTACACAGACACTCACAGACTTACACAGACACTCACAGACTTACACAGACACTCACAGACTTACACAGACACTCACAGACTTACACAGACACTCACAGACTTACACAGACACTCACAGACTTACACAGAGACTCACAGACTTACACAGAGATTCACAGACGCTCACATACACTTACAGATTCATACAGACTTACACAGACACAGACTTACACAGACACTCATAGGCTTACACACACGCACAGACTTACACAGACAATCACAGATGTACAGACATACACAAACTTACACAGACACTCACCGATGTACACAGATACTCACAGACACTCACAGACACTCACAGACTTACACAGACACTCACAAACTTACACAGACACTCACATACTTACACAGACACTCACAGACTTACACAGACACTCACAGACTTACACAGACACTCACAGACTTACACAGACACTCACAGACTTACACAGACACTCACAGACTTACACAGACACTCACAGACTTACACAGACACTCACAGACTTACACAGACACTAACAGACTTACACAGACACTCACAGACTTACACAGACACTCACAGACTTACACAGGGCGGGTGGGAGCCCAGTTCACGCCGATACGTGTTCACGTTCCTGCAGAAGTCCGGTGTCCGTGCCTCTGGCCACTGACCTCCCTCGCCGCTCTCCTTGCGCTCCCCCACCCCACCCCCCATCCCTCCCTCCCTCCCCCGCCCCCACCAGCTGGAACAGAAGCAGGTGATTCCTCCCTTCAAGCCTCACATCGCGGGAGACTTTGGCCTCGACAACTTTGACAGCCAGTTCACCACGGAGCCCGTGCACTTCACCCCCGACGACGAGTGAGCAGCGCCGCCCGGCGTCCACCACCCCCGTCCCTCTTCCCCCACTTCGAGCCCACTCACCTCCCCCCCCCCCTCAAACCAGGGCCCAGCCCAGCCAGTGTGGTCGCAGCCAAAGCCACAGTGTCCCTGCTATCACCACTGCAAGCCCATACCTTCCGATTAACCCACGACCCACTCGGCGTGGTAGCAGACACGGCGTGCGCCGTCCCTGATATCCCCACCGCTAGCCCATACCCACCCCCTCGACCCAGTCCACTCGGCGTGGTAGCAGCCACAGCGTCGTCGTCCCCGTCTCTGATATCCCCACCGCTAGCTCGTACCCCCCACTCCCCACGGCCTCGCTAATGTACAATGGATAAATGTATCCAATCGCTAAGTTTGTGAGCGTGTGCTCGTCTGCTCACCAGCAAGTGAGCCGAAACGACACCAATTGCGCGTTAAGCGCTCGCGTCTGCACGTGACCATTTAATTTGTTCGGCTGTGCCAGACGGTGAAGGCTTTCCTGGTCAGATCTTTGCACGAGCCACTTGCTGAGCCTCCCAACGCTCACCCCATCGTCATCCCCCAACCCTGCCCCGGCTTCAACACCGCCGGTCACCGCCGCTCCCTTCCCCAACCCTAAACCCAGCGTTGACCGTGAACCTCCTGTGACCCTCACCCTATCGCTGCACCTGCCGACCCTGACCCCTGACCTCCCCTTCCCCCCCTCCCTCCCCCCCCGTGTGCCTGTGTCCAGGAGCGTGCTGCAAAAGATTGACCAGACAGAGTTCGAGGGCTTCGAGTACATCAACCCCCTGCTCATGTCCACCGAGGAGTGCGTCTGAGCCTCTACCTCCTCGTCCACCTCCTTGTCCTCCAGGCCTACCATCCAATCACCCAGCCGCACTCCACCAATCAGCTGTGCCACAGCTGGCCGGAATCCCCCCACATCTACCGACAATGCAGTTGTACATTCCAGGTTGTCACGCGCTCAACACCTCCCCCCCCCACCTCCTGCTGTTTGGGATCTCCCAGATTTGGAACCGGTGCGGTGTGCACCGCTCGCGACGGATGCAGCGGAACTCATGACAGGGTGATGCCACTTCTCCCAACGCTTTTCCATAACCCCCCCCCCCCCCACCTCGTCCACCCCCTTGCCGTTCAGTTATACTTCAATGGTACATTCCACCCTGCAAGTTGCCTACTGTGAAGTCTCCCGTGGACGTTGGGGTGCGGTGGTCTACCTTGGAATGTTCCACTTTGATTCGTGGAGGGGATGTGAAGCTTGAAGGCGTTTCTCTCTCTCTCTGTCTCCCACAGCCTAATTGCACGAGTGATGCCGATGTGACCGAGTGAGCGTGTGTCGAAGTGTGCATGTGCGTGCTAGCGATTGCGTGGGTACATGTCTAGTGTAGAGTGGTGGCACAGCGGTTAGTGCGACCGCGCTAGGAACTCGGTGACCCGAGTTCGATTACCCACTCTCACGGCCAATTGGGTCAATATCCAGAACCGGTCCTGGGCCTTTCCTTGGATCAACTCGGCCTTCATGAGTACCTGGTGCGGTGTGTAGCCAAACATCAGCACTGGGGAAACAAAGACGGCCCGGCATGGTGCTGGCCAATCACCTGCCTCGTGTGCTGTGCGAGCCGTCATAGGTGCTCGCAAACAGCACTTGCCCCATAACAGCCTTAGTAGGCTACACGGCGATGTTTGATGTATTTGTTGTGTGTGTGTGTGAATGTTATGGATTGTTTGAGAGCACACATATACATTGCAGAGCGGTGGTGCCGGCAGTCAACGCATTCCACCACACGCAGTGTAACCTGGGCTCGACAACAGGCCGTTTATCACATCGATGACGTGTGGTCACCGAACCTTGTCTTGGAACTCCTCTAGGTTGACTTGGCCTTAATATTCAGTGCATTTGTGTGAACATCGGCACTGTAGAGATGAGGGTAGCTGGGTGTGGTGCTGGCCACACCCCACCCCCCTTGTGTTGTGTCATGGTCTTAATAGGTGCTCGCTAACAGCACTTGCCCCAATAGTCTGTAGAAGGCTATGTGGGGGAGATCTTTGTCTCGTTTTGGCTTTGTGGGTATAAGTGAGTGTGTGTGAGAGTGAGTGTGAGTCAGTGGTGAGGGTGTATGAGTGTGAGTGAGTGTGTGTGTATGAGTGAGTGTGAGTGAGTGTGTGAGTCAGTGTGCTCTGTCAGGGAGCAGTGGCAGCAGCGTGCTAAGAGCCGCGCCATGAAACCCGGCGACCCGAGTTGCATTCCCGCTCAAGGCCACCAACGGTGGCGAATATTTGAACTGGTCCTGGGTCCTCCTTAGGTCGACTGAGCCTTAAACGAGCACCAGTGTGTAAACATCAGTGCTGGGGAGACAAAGGCGGCCAGGCGTGATTTTGGCCACAACCACCCCCAAGTGTGCTGTGCCAGCCTTTATAGGTGCTCGCTAACAGCACTTGCCCCAACAGTCGGTTGAAGGCTATATGGCAAGCTCCTTTGTGAGAGTGAACACACGCGGGTGTGCGTGCGAGCGAGTGCGTGCGTGCGAGCGTGAGCACGCGGGTGTGTGTGCGAGCGTGAGCACACGAGAGCGTAAATCGGCAAAAACGCGTGCAAACCTGTGTTTAAAATGACAGCACATCAAGCCTGTTGCTCGTTAGTCCAGCGGTGTAGCTGTTGATGGTGCAGGTGGTGCAACTGCCACCGGGCCCCGTGGGCATGTGGGGGGATGGGGGGGGGGGGCATTTAAATCCCTGCACCGTGGGAGCCACGGTGCACCACTGCTGCCTCCGCTACCTTTACAAATTCCCTCCGACACGGTCATTCATAGGGCTACGATTTTGGCACGGAGGTCGCAGAAATCGTCAAATGTAATATGAAGTCCATCGTGACCTCTTGTTGATGACTGTAGGTCGGGGGTAGGGATGTAGAACACGTGTCTGGACACGGCTGTACGTTGGGGTGGTGGTGATGGGGGGGGGGTTTGGGAGAAGAGGCACCAACCACCCGTGACCTTTCCGCGCATAAGAGTTTCCCCGTACCTCGGCCGGTAATTTTACTCCTCCAGTTACCCGTGCCAACATCGTGGCCCCTTCCCCGCCCGCTTACCCCTCTCTCCCCTGCTCGGAGTCGCGGGGGCGCTACCCCCCCCCCCCCCCCCCCCGTCCTCTTTCCCCACCGTCTTCTTCCCTGCCTCCCCCGGTCAGAGCGGTGGCTCCAGGGCTGAGTCTCACCCGAGCACGTTGTCCTCTTCCGTCTCCTCGATGATGCAGCAGCCTGAGTGGGCCCCGGTGGAGGAGGCTCCCTCGCTGGGCAGTGAAGCAGACCGCTTACCAGTTGTACATTTTTACTTTTGTCTTTCTGCTGCTGCTACTGCCACCACCTCTTTCTTCATCCTTGACCCCTGGTCCGGTGCCCCCTAAGTGGTGAGTTGGTGGGGGGGGGGGGGCAGAAGAGACGATGAAGACAAAAACGCGAAACACTATACGCTTTTAAGTCGGGCCTCATTGCACAAGTTAACCACGCGGTGTCGGGATTTATTTACCAAATGTACTATAAGAACTTTAGGAGATACTATTATTATCGCAGTTAAGACGTCGGCAAATGCGATCAATTTAAGACTAATGTAAAACGACAGTATATTTTTTATTCTCCAGCGCCGGCCGGCGTGTGTGGAGTGTGGGATGTGGGGAGTTCGGTGGGGTGGGGACGGCAGGGGGGGCCACGGTCTGAGAAATTCTCGGCTGGAACTGCCACATCGCTCGGTTCAGCGGCATGCTGTCTCTCTGTCGCACTCCCCACTCGTGTCTGACCGCTCACCACCGAGGTGATGGCCACTCGCTTGACGTTGCTGCTCCCTTCCTCCCTTCCCGAGCGAGTGATCGAGCGAGCTCTCGAGTTGCGAGTTCCAAGTTTTATTTTGTTTAGCTCGGAGAGAACTCGAGTGAGAGAGCGTGTGAGCGAGACATTTCCAGGGTTTATTGGTCTCTCTCTTTTGCAAGGGGTGACCGACCCTTGGTTCGCCAAAATTACAAAAGCAAAAAAAACGGCGAAGACGCAGCTACGAAGCGAATGGAAATCGGTGCGATAACTGTTCACGTTCAAAAGTTGAATTCTGTCGTTTTAAGCTCGACACTTGAACTTGCCGCAATGCAGACGCGAGGTTCACGCGGCCATAAGGATGAGTGGTGGCGTCGACAAGTTACAGAACGCAAATTTTAATCCGAGTCGAGTTCGGCTTTGGCGGGTACGCTGCTGTGGGATGGTTGAGGCCCCGTCAGGGGGCTGCTGCTGCTGCTGTTGTTGCCGTTACTGTTCAGTTTAAAGCGCCTTCGACGATGAGCTCGGTTGGCTACGTACGGTGCGAAGGAAGTTCAACAGACACACATACAAAGCGATGTCCGCCATGCGGGATTTACAAGATGTGCCCCCCCCCCCCCCCCAAAACAAAACCAGAATAATCTGGCAACTCGCTCCTGGATCGTCCAAATGGAAGCTGTTTGGCGATACCTTGGCCCACGAGCCAAGAGGGGGGGGGGGGGGGGCTTAGTTGGGGTCACCTGGGTGGCAATTGCTACTCGTGTCTACCCGTGGGCGGTGTTAACCGTGCCCAGACAAAGATTTGGCATCTGTAAACCGCCCCGTTGCGTAAGAACACGCTTCCTATTCTCATGACCCGCGGGATGTTTGGTATCGCGTTCGGTTCGACTTCCCCGTGCCCAAGCGACGTTCTCCAAGGAACACCGCGATGGGCTTGCCATCGCACGCGTTTGTGGTCCAGAGATGAAGTGATGGGAGAATGTCATCATTGGCATTCGCCAGTTTGCACCATTGGTCACCACCCCAAGCAAACTTTAAAGGCGGCCTCAGGGATAAAGTAAAAACTAAACTATATTTTATTTTACCAGGTAAGGCCACACCGAGCTATGTGTAGCTCTTTTTTCAGAAGCGACCTGGCCACAAATGATGGGTCAACCTCCGTGGCTTATCACGTGGAAATTTATAGCAGCCAAAACCCCGGAGGACGCGACCACATTGAGATCATGCAAACTCCAAAAATACAGCAGGCGTCAGGGTCAGGATCGAACCCACGAGCTCCTGTATACCAGGCGAGGTGGTTAACATCTAGCCACCGTGGCGCCAATCTTGCAACAGACAACGCCGTGCAGATGATTCCCAATTATGACGAAACGATGAAAACACTACTGGGGGAGGGTTACTATGCTGCTGGAACTGTGTAATCATCTCCACTAACTAGCGAGGCCACTTGCTAACAGACACTAAACTACGCGCGATTGAATTGAGATTTCCGTAGTACTTTGGTGGCGTTTGCGTCTTTTCATATTTGGGGGGGCGTCGGGCCGGCACCCGTCGCTGTGGAGCGTGCGACACTGAAGCCAATCACTCGGAACGAGGCGCTCGCGCACACACGAGTCATGTCGGGACCACCGGTACGAGCCCCTTGGGTTTGATGTTGAAGATACTGCGAAGAAAAAAAGCACTCCTGCCCATCCATAAAAAAACCTCAGCTGTGGCGATTCTCAACAATGAACGAGACGAATGAAACCAAAGTGACGATATCGGTCGCAAAATCTCAACGAACGAAACGCACATTTTTTGTTCAAAGTTTAATTTACCAGCTCTGGGGAGGGGGGGACGTTTTAGCGGCCGCTAAACTTTGGGCAGCTTCTAACGCGCGGTTTGTGTATAAACGAGGGGGGGGGGGGGCTTGCCTCCGCGCTTGTTTGACGTGTTGTTGTCGCTGCTGCTGCTCCTGCTCTCGTCACCGCCGCGTCGGACATCGATCGCATCGCCGAAGTGGTCGCGTGCGCAGCGGCGACGGCTGTGTCCGACCGCGTGCCACATGCGCGCCACCATTGGTTGATCGTCACGGTGTTGTGAAGCTGGGGCAACCCTTGTGGTTGGTTTGGTTGGTGGGGGGAGGTCGTAGGGGGCTAGGCACGGCCCAGTCGATGTTAAAACTTTAAGCAAAATGTTGCGACGCTGAAATGGAATTGGTTTCGACGGTTCGAGCTGCCGCTCACGCTTGCGTAATACGGTGACATGGGACAGCCCACGAAATCGCAGGTCGCCGCTCGGTCATATATGATCTTGCAGAACCTCAATAGAGGCAATATTATATCGATTCTGTTCGTAATCAATCCGACTACAATGTAAAAATGACATTTTTTATTCATCAATCCCAAAATAATCGAGGGGGTACATCGCTGCGCCCATTCATTGCCAAGCCAATCAATGGATGGAGTAATCCCATTGGTGAGTGTTGCGACAGGTGAACCGCCCACTTTGATTGGCTAAGATTACAGCTCCGTCCAGTCGCTCAACGCTACAGGCTTAAAACTAAAATCATCAACTATTTTTAATTTACCAGGTAAGGCCCACTAAGCTATACATAGCTTTTTTCAGAAGCGACCTGGCTATCACAAATGACAGCTCAAAGAAGTGGCTTATCATCATATAGAAATGTATAGCAGCCAAATACTCTATGCGCGTGATGTTGAATCTTAATGTGGAGGGGAAAACCTGGAAGAATCCGTAAAAAAAATCCACGCGACCACGGGAAGAGAGAGAGACACCGCAAACTCCACATATACAGCAGGCTTTAGGGTCGGGATCGAACCCACGACCTCCGGTAGACCGGCGAGGTAGTTAACATCTCCTAGCCACCGTGGCGCCCCATTGACACCGGTGCTGTGCGACACCAGCGACCGTGCGACTTCAATACCGGGGTCCGGGTCGCGTTCATAGAACGGCTCTGAAAGGACATCGATCGGGTGTCTCGTCGTGCGGTCAGACACTTGTATCGCTCACATGTGTGTACACGTGTGGGCGTGGGTGGGTGCGTGGGTGGGTGCGCGCGCGCGCGTTCGGAACACAGCCCGCCTATTCCGAACACGTGCCATGGTGTGGACTGCATTTGCGTTGAGTCTGAACCGAGGGCGCTTTCGCTCGGAACAATTTTTTGTTGTTCTTGTGGATCGACGGCCGCGTCGCGGCGGTGAAGGGAGGAGGAGCGGTGTCGGGCAAATCCTGAGAGCTCTATTTAACTAGATAGCACTGGGAGCCCGGAGGGCCCATAGTCTGTAATGTTCGGGGCTGCACAAACTCCGTGGATTCCGGTGAAGGTTTCCACGTTTACCTGTCTTCACAGCCGCAGCCGTCATATCACATCGTCATCGCAGTAATGGCGTTGTACCACATTACTTGATACGTGCAGCGGTCGATAAGTGAACCGTTGTCATTATTGAAACGAGTGGGTGTGTATTTACCCAGCACAAGCCTCGCTTGAGTCTTAAGATGCGTTTTCAGGAGGGCCTCTGTGCTTTGGCTAATCGCGTGATGGCCTCGAGGATAGACACTTGAGCAAATGGATAAAACCCACACGGGCTGAAACACTCAATTCCAACCAGATAAACCAGTAGCAACCTATTAGCTGTACTCTGGGACCATCCTGCAGGTGTGCAGCCAACACCTGAGCACACATACCCGCGGAATGGTCTGTGTGTGAGCCAGCAACCGCAATCACACGGGTGTATGCTACAACACCCAGGTTCATATTCATTTCGACATACAAGACGATTGGAAACTAGAAATAGTCAAAATAATGGTGGGAGAGGGGACTGGAGTTTCTGAGTATCCGATGGTTATTAAAAGTCGGGTAGTTGAAAACTACCCAGGCGTCCCAGTTTGGCCGGAACAGGTCGGGACAGGCCCGGCGGTTTCAGAAAGTCTGCCCGGGATATCCAGAAGATTTCAGCGGGGGGAAGGGGGGGAAACAAAAGTTGAGATTTTTGTCGCCGGTTTTCAAATATTATTTGAGTCTTTCGGTAAAGCCACGTAGATAGAAAAAAAAAATATCACAACGTTTCGATCGTAACGCAAGCAATCGTCATCAGGTGAAAAAATATCGAGAGCTGCTGAGGCAGGATGTTATGACATGTTATATTTTTTTCTATCTACGTGGCTTCACCGAAAGACCCAAAGAATATTAATTCCTGCAGTCACGAAAGCTTTAAGTCGGTTTTCAAATGTTATGGCCTCTTGCCAACTCACCGTGACCCGGGTGGTGGGCGGGTCTGCATCAGCAGTGGGCGGGGATAGCGATGGAGTGGCGTGGCGGTGTATAAGTGGGCGGGGCTCAGTGAGTAGGCGGTGCCAGTGGCTGATTGAGCGTGGTGGGAGCGGTGGTGCAGCGGTTCACGTGCTGCCCTCGAACATGGCGAGCCAAGTTCGATTCCCGCTCACGGCCAACACCGGTGGCGATTATCTGAACTGGTCCTGGGCTCCCCTAGGTTGACTCAGCCTCAAATGAGTACCTGGTGCGGTGTGTAATAAACTTCGCCACCGGGGAAACAAAGGCGGCCGGGCGTGGTGCTGGAAATCAACCCCTCGTGTGCTGTGCCGGCCTTCATAGGTGCTCGCTAACATCACTTGCCCCAACAGTCTGTGAAGGCTATAGGGGGATCTTTGTCTTTGTGGCGGGATTAAGGGAGGGGAGGGAAGCTGCCAGTTCACCATGTGGTCCCCATAGTAGCTTTAGAGTAGGCGACTTCACCGAGACGACTTGGTTACGCTTCTGCAAGGATAAAAAAACGCGATGACATTTATACACACGTATACGCAAGGGGTGGTCAAGGGATTATATATAAAAAAAAATGTAATGCGCTAGAAAGTAATAACTTTCGATGAAAACTACTGCGTGTTGGAAGACAACATTCTCTCAACACACCTCGCGGCACTGCTGACTAACCTTTATGCATATGTGTTGTGTGTGTGCGTGCGTGTTCCAGCACCCGTTCTCGACACTAACTGTATTTTATGCCGATTTCTTGTTTTGTACGACGGAAGACACTACATAGAAATTATGGAATTAAAAACAATCAATTTTTTATTATTTCGTCATTGTTTGATTTTTTTTTTTACCTGTGGAGTAGGAGATTTTGGAATCGATGAAGACCGAAGCTGAAGCGAGGAGCTTGCAAGTTTCATCGAGTTTGATTTTGTTTAACCATGAAGAAGGTTTTTGTCTCTGGTGTAGGCCAATCAGTTTCAAAGACCATGCAGATATTATCAGAGCAATGTTTGTTTGCATGTTCACTACACGTCCTCTGGTTAATGCAGACTTGATGCTTTGGAAAAGTGTTCTATTTGGTGTTTGAACATCTTAACACAACTGTTTTATTGCCAGAAAGGGTAAAACCTATTCTTATTTACTGTTTGGTTCTTTCGGTAAAGTCACGTAGGTAGAAAAAATAACAGATCACGACGTTTCGATTGCAACACAAGCAACCGTCTTCATACTCTTAGTTCTTTCGGTAAAGTCACGTAGGTAAAAAATGAAATTAATAAAAATAAAACAATAAAAATCACGACGTTTTGGAGGCAACACAAGTCTCCGTCATCAGGTGGGACCGTCACAGCCAGATTTGCTGCATCAAGTGAGGCAAGGATTCAAGATGTAATCCCTTAAATGCAAGTTGAGGGGGGGGAGCTCATCAGAATGTGGTAGCCAATGAATGGAACGTATCGGGAGGGGGGGGGCTAAAAGAAGGCACGAAGTGCTACGTAGAACGTATCGGTATCGGAAGGGGGAGGGGCCAAAATAGAACGGACGAAGTGGTACACGAGAGTCGGCGACGTGGACGTGGTTGTGCGCAAGCAACTATTGTTGCACACGCCAACGTATTGGACGAAGAGGGGGAGGGGAGGCCAAAAGAGAGTGTGGGGTGCAAGTGTACGTGGACATGTGTATGTACAAGCACCTGTTGATACACATGATAGAAAAGAACGAAAATGCCCATGTTTATACTAGTGCTGGCTGAACAATAAAGAGAGTACTGTTAAACACTGGGGATGTTAACACTCGGTAAAGTAAAGTCAAATAGTGCCTGTCAGATAAGATGGTCCAAAAATGTGTAATTAAGTCTTTTTTGCATGGTTGATAACATCTTTCCAATGATTACTAAGTTTGTACCCATCATCACGGTTGAAATTATGTCTGTGTTTGTATATCTGAATGGCTTCGTGTACAAACCTTTGATGGTAGCCAGAGGGTTTGCAGAGCACCTTAGTCTCGGAGAAAACAATCTCATGAGAGCCCACCGCGTTGTAGCAATGATCGGCAACGGCGGAAGACTCAACTTTGCCGTGTTTCAAATCTGACTTGTGCTCGCGGACACGATCAGAGACATGACGTTTCGTTTCCCCAATGTAACAGTCACCACAGTTGCAACTCAGTTTATAGACTCCAGGGTATTGCAAGTCAGGGATGACATCTTTCACAGATGGAATTAGATCACGGATTTTATGTACTGTACTGAATCGGACTTGGATCTTTTGGAGATCTTTTTGGTCACGCCTGCTATGTATGGTAACGTGACAGTTTTGATCGGAGTTTCAAGTGGCTGTTTCTGTATGGTGGGAAAAACAGCTTGGCGGATGGTGCGTTCAGAGTATCCGTTCATCCTGAGGGCCCGATGTACATGTCTCAATTCACTGGCCAGGTGGTGTTGGTCAGAAATGCCATGAGCTCTGTGGTATAGCGTTTTGATGAGAGAATTATTTTGAGATGGGTGGTGGTGGGAATCTGGTTTCAAGTAGGAATCTGTGTGGGTGGCTTTCCTGTAGACAGAATGTCCCAAGGATCAATCAGGTCTCCTCTCAAACAGAATATCTAAGAATGGTAGTTTACCATCTTTCTCCACTTCCATGGTGAATCTGATGGATGGATGTCTGGAGTTGATGTGGTCCAAGAAGTGGTTCAATGCTGGGAGGCCGTGTGGCCAAATGACGAAAGTGTCATCCACATACCTCTTCCACAGGGAAGGATGCAGGGTGGATGTCTGGATGGCGTCTGATTCAAACTTTTCCATGAACATGTTGGCTATCACTGGTGACAAGGGGGAGCCCATAGGGGTACCCTTATTCTGTTTGTAGAAGGTGCCATTCCAGGTAACCGTCTTCAGGTGAAGAGGAGGAATCTGCTGAGGCAGGCTGTTTATAAAGGTTTAGAGATGGGCAGGGCAGCTAATGTTAATGTCGGAGCGAGCAGGGGAGAGCGAGTAGAAGAGAGAAATTTGCTTGTAAATGTAAATGTGAGCTCGGGAAAGACCGGGCCCGGAAATCTGCTTGTCAGTGTAAATGTAAGCTCGGCGAAGGCCCAGAAATTTGAGAGTCGGCTAATATTGGCAGGTAGGAAGGAAACATCAAAGCAGTTAACTTTACCTGGTTGATCATGTCCTTCCAATGATTGCTTAAATTGTATCCATCTTCTCGGTTTAAGTTACGTCTTTATGAATCTGGATGGCTTCATGGACAAATCTTTCATGGTAGCCCGAAGGTTTGCAGAGTACCTTGGTCTCGGAAAAGACAATATCGTGTGAGCCCACCACGTTCAAACAGTGATCAGCCACGGCAGAGGTATTGGTTCTGCCGTGTTTCAAATCTGCCTTGTGTTCGCGAACACGGTACGAGACATGTCGTTTCGTTTCGCCAATGTAACTGCTACCGCAAACACAACTTAGTTTGTAGACACCAGGATATTGCATGTCAAGAATCACATCGTTCACAGATGGGATCAAATCACGGATTTTGTGTACTGTGTTGAATCGAACCTGGATCTTGTGTTTGTTCAAGATTTTGGAAATATTTTTGGTCACCCCTGCTATGTATGGCAAGGTGATGGTTTCCATTGGGTCCTCAGATGGTTCTCTCCCTATGGTTGGGGATACAGCTTTGCGGATTGTGCAATCCGAATATCCATTCATCTTGAGGGCTTGGCGTACGTGCTACAGTTCACTAGATAGGTGGTGCTGGTCGGAGATGCAACGGGCCCATGGTGTAGTGTTTTGAGGAGGGAATTCTTCTGGGATGGATGGTGGTGGGAATCGATCTTTAGATAGGAATCCGTGTGGGTGGCTTTCCTGTCGACCGAATGTCCCAACGAGCCATCAGGTCTCTTCTCGATCAAAACATCCAGGAATGGTAGCTTGCCATCATTTTCCACTTCCATGGTGAATTTTATGGATGGGTGTATGGAATTGATGTGGTTGAAAAATTGGTTCAGTGCTGGCAGGCCATGTGGCCAGATGACGAACGTGTCATCTATGTATCTCTTCCACAAGGAAGGACGGCCGTAGGGTGGATGTCTGGATGGCATCTGTCTCAAATTTCTCCATGAAAACATTTGCGACCACTGGCGATAAGGGAGAACCCATTGGGGTACCCTCATTTTGTTTGTAGAATGTACCATTTCAGCTGAAGTAAGTATTGGTAAGGCAATGCCTCACCAAAGTTGGTACATCAGGATTCAGTCCCTGTTGGACAAAGTCTTCAATGATTGCAATGGTGTCAAGTACAGGTACCTTGGTGAACAGCGATACCACATTTAAACTGACAAGCAAATCATCTGGAGACAGTGAGATGTCCTTGATTAGAGAAACCAAGTAATTACAGCTGAGGTGGTCTTGCCCGTGAAAGAAAGCAGGGTCTCAGACAGAAATTGGGCCAGTTTGTAGGTGGGTGAGTTAATGGTGGAGGCGATAGGACGGAGCGGGGGACCTTCTTTATGGATTTTTGGAAGGCCGTAATATTTGGGTGGTCTAGCAGCCGAAGGTTTTAGAGAGAGAGCTGCTTGGTCGGTTCGATTAGATAAGTCGAATTAGTGATGATATTGTTGTTTGTCGTAGCCATCACTAAGAAGGTCCTGAATTTTGTTGTTGTAAGTGGTTTTATCCACGATGACAGTGGCATTGCCCTTGTCGGCTGAGAGGATGACAATGTCATCTCTCTTTTTCAATTGAGCGAGTTCAAAACGCTCGTCCTTGCTGATGTTGCAAATGGGTTTCTTAGCGTTTTTGAGGATAGCGATTTCAGATCTTGCTACAGTGAGGGAAAAAAGTATTTGATTCCCTGATGATTTTGTACGTTTGCCCACTGACAAAGAAATGATCAGTCTATAATTTTAATGGTAGGTTTATTTGAACAGTGAGAGACAGAATAACAACAATAAAATCCAGAAAAACGCATGTCAAAAATGTTATAAATTGATTGGCATTTTAATGAGGGAAATAAGTATTTGACCCCTCTGCAAAACATGACTTAGTACTTGGTGGCAAAACCCTTGTTGGCAATCACAGAGTTCAGACGTTTCTTATAGTTGGCCACCAGGTTTGCACACATCTCAGGAGGGATTTTGTCCCACTCCTCTTTGCAGATCTTCTCCAAGTCATTAAGGTTTCGAGGCTGACGTTTGGCAACTCGAACCTTCAGCTCCCTCCACAGATATCCTGTGGGATTAAGGTCTGGAGACTGGCTAGGCCACTCCAGGACCTTAATGTGCTTCTTCTTGAGCCACTCCTTTGTTGCTTTCGCCGTGTGTTTTGGGTCATTGTCATGCTGGAATACCCATCCACGACCCATTTTCAATGCCCTGGTTGAGGGAAGGAGGTTCTCACCCAAGAGTTGACGGTACATGGCCCCGTCCATCGTCCCTTTGATGCGGTGAAGTTGTCCTGTCCCCTTAGCAGCAAAACACCCCCAAAGCATAATGTTTCCACCTCCATGTTTGACGGTGGGGATGGTGTTCTTGGGGTCATATGCAGCATTCCTCCTCCTCCAAACACGGCGAGTTGAGTTTATGCCAAAGAGCTCCATTTTGGTCTCATCTGACCACAACACTTTCACCCACTTGTCCTCTGAATCATTCAGATGTTCATTGGCAAACTTCAGACGGGCATGTATATGTGCTTTCTTGAGCAGGGGGACCTTGCGGGCGCTGCAGGATTTCAGTCCTTCACGGCGTATTGTGTTACCAACTGTTTTCTTGGTGACTATGGTCCCAGCTGCCTTGATATCATTGACAAGATCCTCCCGTGTAGTACTGGGCTGATTCCTCACCGTTCTCATGATCATTGCAACTCCACGAGGTGAGATCTTGCATGGAGCCCCAGGCCGAGGGAGATTGACAGTTCTTTTGTGTTTCTTCCATTTGCGAATAATCGCACCAACTGTTGTCACCTTCTCACCAAGCTGCTTGGCGATGGTCTTGTAGCCCATTCCAGCCTTGTGTAAGTCTACAATCTTGTCCCTGACATCGTTGGAGAGCTCTTTGGTCTTGGCCATGGTGGAGAGTTTGGAATCTGATTGATTGCTTCTGTGAACAGGTGTCTTTTATACAGGTAACAAGCTGAGATTAGGAGCACTCCCTTTAAGAGTGTGCTCATAATCTCAGCTCGTTACCTGTATAAAAGACACCTTTAAGAGTGTGCTCCTAATCTCAGCTCGTTACCTGTATAAAAGACACCTGGGAGCCAGAAATCTTTCTGATTGAGAGGGGGTCAATACTTATTTCCCTCATTAAAATGCAAATCAATTTATAACATTTTTGACATGCGTTTTTCTGGATTTTGTTGTTGTTATTCTGTCTCTCACTGTTCTAATAAACCTACCATTAAAATTATAGACTGATCATTTTTTTGTCAGTGGGCAAACGTACAAAATCAGCAGCGGATCAAATACTTTTTTCCCTCACTGTACGTCTGCCGGGATTTGTTCCAAACCTTTGAGGGATACGTCGACCTGGGCAGACATTCTACAAACAAAATGAGGGTACCCAATGGGTTCTCCCTCATCGCCAGTGGTAGCAAATGTTTTCATGGAGAAATTTGAGACAGATGCCATCTAGACATCCACCCGACGTCTTTCCTTGTGGAAGAGATACGTAGATGACACGTTCGTCATCTGGCCACATGGCCTGCCAGCACTGAACCAATTTTTCAACCACATCAATTCCATACACCCATCCATAAAATTCACCATGGAAGTGGAAAATGATGGCAAGCTACCATTCCTGGATGTTTTGATCGAGAAGAGACCTGATGGCTCGTTGGGACATTCGGTCGACAGGAAAGCCACCCACACGGATTCCTATCTAAAGCCCGATTCCCACCACCATCCAGCCCAGAAGAATTCCCTCCTCAAAACACTACACCATGGGCCCGTTGCATCTCCGACCAGCACCACCTATCCAGTGAACTGTAGCACGTACGCCAAGCCCTCAAGATGAATGGATATTCGGGTCGCACAATCCGCATCGGGAGAGAACCATCTGAGGACCCAATGAAAACCATCACCTTGCCATACATATGTAGTGAGTCCACCTGCGTCGCAGACGTTGTCTTGGGAGCAACACGTTTTATTAAACTCTTAGCACAGCATACTCCAAGCTATTGACACAACATACTCCAAGCTATTGACACAACATACTCCAAGCTATTGACACAACATACTCAAGGCTATTAACACAACATACTCCAAGCTATTGACACAACATACTCCAAGCTATTGACACAACGTACTCTCGGGTGGTGACCACCCAACTAACCACGCTACGGCGGAACTAGACACGGTTCCACTATCCCGGTCCGGACCACAAGCTGGGTCCCGGACCGCGTGGCTGGAGGCTTCTTCAAGCTTGACGTGGATCTCCTGCCTCTCCAACAGTAAGAACCCCGAGCCCCTCACAGGGCCCCCCCCCCCCCCCCCCCTTATATGGGGCCGGGCTGGGGCTGGCTCCGCCTCTCGCCCCGCCCACCTCGATCTCTCTCGCCCCCTTGCCCGAAAGCTCTCGAGAGTTCTTCTCGGACCATGTGACCACCCATTGGTCCCCTCCACCGGTGGCCCCCCTCCAGTATCATCCGGTAACATGTCCCCAGGTCGGCCAGAGTATCGTGCCCCCAACGTAACCCCAGCTGGCTGATGCTCTCTCAACGGGTGCCCGCACCGCACGCTGTGCGTGGTGCCACCACGCTGAACCAGCGCTCACCCAAGCCCCCACTAGGGCTGGTACTACACCCCGTGTCTGTGGTGTACACACAACAGTAGACATCCCGCCGTGGCCTCGCATTCCCAGTCACTACACATAGCAGGGGTTACCAAAAAGATTTTCAAAATCTTGAACAATCCCAAGATCCAGGTTCGATTCAACACAGTACACAAAATCCGTGATTTGATCCCATCTGTGAAAGATGTGATTCCTGACATGCAATACCCTGGTGTCTACAAACTAAGTTGTGTCTGCGGTAGCAGTTACATTGGGGAAATGAAACAACATGTCTCGGACCGTGTTCGCGAACACAAGGCAGATTTGAAACACGGCAGAACCAATACCTCTGCTGTGGCTGATCACTGTTAGAACACGGTGGGCTCACACGATATTGTCTTTTCCGAGACCAAGGACCTCTGAAAACCTTCGGGCTATCGTCAAAGATTTGTCCATGAAGCCATCCAGATTTATAAACACAGACATAACTTCAACCGAGAAGATGGATACAACTTGATCAATCATTGGAAGGACGTGATCAACCAGGTAAAGTTTTAACTTCTTTGATGTTCCCTTCCTACCTGCCAATACTAGCCGACTCTCAACTTTCTGGGCCCTGGCCGAGCTCACATTTACAAGCAAATTTCTCTCAAGCTACTCGCTCTCTCCCGCTCGCTCCTACATGATAACATTAGCTGCCCGCCCATCTCTAAACCTTGATCAACAGCCTGCCTCAGCAGATTCCCCCTCTTTTTCACCTGAAGACGGTTGCTTGTGTTGCGATCGAAACGTCGTGATCTGTTATTTTTTCTACCCACGTGACTTTACCGAAAGAACCAAAGAGTATGGATTCCTGTAGTCACGAAAGCTTCAAATCAAGATCTATTCTTATTTTTCATACTTTGATACTGGCAAAAAAGGTCCCATGATATAGGATGAGTCTCTTTTGCGGAGTGATTGAGTGAGTTGGCGAGTCGGTCTCTGCGAGTGACTGCGGTGAGAACCCAAAAGACTCGGATAGTCTCATTTACAAGAGTGATTTGAGCGAGTGAGGGGTGGGTGAGTACAAGTTTGAAGTTGGCAATATTTTGTTTCACCAGGTAATAAGTAGTGAGATTGGGATCGCGTCCGTTACAAAGAGTGGGCGAGTCGGTATGTGCGAGTGGCATAGCGGTCAACCCACACGGTTCACCCGTATTCTTGTGCAGCAGGGAAATCGAGTTTTCAGGTGCATACGGCGTATAGCCGTTTCAATACGGTCAACAGCATTTGGTTTGTCTATTTGTGTTTCTCCCTTGATGGGACTCTGTAGGATAAACGTTGAGATGTATAAGGGGCACGGGTGACCAATAAGGTCTGAATTGAGAGGTATGGAGATCTCACCCACGACCTTCTGTAGACGAGGCGAGGTAGTTGACATCTGGCCACCGCGGCTCCCCATGAATCACATCGATCGACCCTCTGCATCCACAAACGTGAAGAAGTACGTCTTACACATCAGACGCGTTGCAGCAAACCCGAAACAAAGATCCCCGCTCATCCCCCCTGCGACAGGCTGTTGGGGCAAGTGCTGTTAGCGAGCACCTATGAAGGCTGGAACGTCACACGAGGGGGTGGGTGGCCAGCACCACGCCCGGCCGCCTTTGTCTCCCCGGTGGCGATATTTACCCACCAGGTACTCATTTGAGGCTGAGTGGACCTAGGGGACGCCCAGGACCTGGTACATATAATCGTCACCGCTGTTGGTGACCGTGAGCGGGAATGGAACTCGGGTCACCGGGGTTCGTAGCGGCAGCGCGCTAACCGCTGCGCCACCGCTCCCCTCCAACCCCTACCCATCATGGCCGCCGCGTAGCTCCCGCCGCCGCCGTCGCGATGACGATGACGACACCGCCGCTGCAACTCTCGCGAGAGCGCGCGGGAGCTGCTCTCGCGAGAGCGCGCGGGAGCTGCTCTCGCGAGAGCGCGCGGGAGCTGCTCTCGCGAGAGCGCGCGGGACGGGAGCTGCTCTCGCGAGAGCGCGCGGGAGCTGCTCTCGCGAGAGCGCGCGGGAGCTGCTCTCGCGAGAGCGCGCGGGAGCTGCTCTCGCGAGAGCGCGCGGGAGCTGCTCTCGCGAGAGCGCGCGGGAGCTGCTCTCGCGAGAGCGCGCGGGAGCTGCTCTCGCGAGAGCGCGCGGGAGCTGCTCTCGCGAGAGCGCGCGGGAGCTGCTCTCGCGAGAGCGCGCGGGAGCTGCTCTCGCGAGAGCGCGCGGGAGCTGCTCTCGCGAGAGCGCGCGGGAGCTGCTCTCGCGAGAGCGCGCGGGAGCTGCTCTCGCGAGAGCGCGCGGGAGCTGCTCTCGCGAGAGCGCGCGGGAGCTGCTCTCGCGAGAGCGCGCGGGAGCTGCTCTCGCGAGAGCGCGCGGGAGCTGCTCTCGCGAGAGCGCGCGGGAGCTGCTCTCGCGAGAGCGCGCGGGAGCTGCTCTCGCGAGAGCGCGCGGGAGCTGCTCTCGCGAGAGCGCGCGGGAGCTGCTCTCGCGAGAGCGCGCGGGAGCTGCTCTCGCGAGAGCGCGCGGGAGCTGCTCTCGCGAGAGCGCGCGGGAGCTGCTCTCGCGAGAGCGCGCGGGAGCTGCTCTCGCGAGAGCGCGCGGGAGCTGCTCTCGCGAGAGCGCGCGGGAGCTGCTCTCGCGAGATCGGCCACGCCAACGGTCGCCGAGATGGCGATGGCGGAGCGAAGGAAGCAGCGCAAGCAGCAGGTTCGTGTGGGGGGCCTCGGGGGTCTCGGGCGGCACGGCACGGGGACTTGGGGGGCACGGGGACTTGGGGGGCACGGCACGGGGACTTGGGGGGCACGGGGTCTTGGGGGGGCACGGCACGGGGACTTGGGGGGCACGGCACGGGGACGTGGGGGGCACGGCACGGGACTTGGGGGGCACGGCACGGGGACTTGGGGGGCACGGGGTCTTGGGGGGGCACGGGGTCTTGGGGGGGCACGGGGTCTTGGGGGGTCACGGCACGGGGTCTTGGGGGGGCACGGCACGGGGACTTGGGGGGCACGGCACGGGGACTTGGGGGGGCACGGCACGGGGACTTGGGGGGGCACGGCACGGGGACTTGGGGGGCCGCCGCTTTACCTCGCGTGAGCTCCTCACACCCCCAGGCGGAGTAGAGCGCCGGGGGGGGGGGGGCGAAGAGAGGGGAGGCCGGAATGTATCTTGTCACCTCTCTCATCACCCCGTGTCTCTGTCTCATCACCCCGTGTCTCTCTCTCATCACCCCGTGTCTCTCTCTCTCATCACCCCGTGTCTCTCTCTCTCATCACCCCGTGTCTCTCTCTCTCATCACCCCGTGTCTCTCTCTCATCACCCCGTGTCTCTCTCATCACCCCGTGTCTCTCTCTCTCATCACCCCGTGTCTCTCTCTCATCACCCCGTGTCTCTCTCTCTCATCACCCCGTGTCTCTCTCTCTCATCACCCCGTGTCTCTCTCTCATCACCCCGTGTCTCTCTCTCATCACCCCGTGTCTCTCTCTCATCACCCCGTGTCTCTCTCTCTCTCATCACCCCGTGTCTCTCTCTCTCATCACCCCGTGTCTCTCTCTCATCACCCCGTGTCTCTCTCTCTCATCACCCCGTGTCTCTCTCTCTCATCACCCCGTGTCTCTCTCTCTCATCACCCCGTGTCTCTCTCTCATCACCCCCGTGTCTCTCTCTCTCATCACCCCGTGTCTCTCTCTCTCATCACCCCGTGTCCTCTCTCTCATCACCCCGTGTCTCTCTCATCACCCCGTGTCTCTCTCTCGTCATCACCCCGTGTCTCTCTCTCTCATCACCCCGTGTCTCTCTCTCTCATCACCCCGTGTCTCTCTCTCTCATCACCCCGTGTCTCTCTCCTCTCATCACCCCGTGTCTCTCTCTCATCACCCCGTGTCTCTCTCTCTCATCACCCCGTGTCTCTCTCTCTCATCACCCCCGTGTCTCTCTCTCTCTCATCACCCCGTGTCCTCTCGCATCACCCCGTGTCTCTCGCATCACCCCGTGTCTCTCTCTCTCATCACCCCGTGTCCTCTCTGCCTCATCACCCCGTGTCTCTCTCTCATCACCCCGTGTCTCTCTCTCTCCTCACACCCGTGTCTCTCTCTCTCTCATCACCCCGTGTCTCTCTCTCTCATCACCCCCGTTCTCTCCTCTCATCACCCCGTGTCTCTCCCTCTCATCACCCCGTGTCTCTCTCTCTCTCTCATCACCCCGTGTCTCTCTCTCTCATCACCCCGTGTCTCTCTCTCTCATCACCCCCGTGTCTCTCTCTGCCTCATCACCCCGTGTCTCTCTCTCTCATCACCCCGTGTCTCTCTCTCTCATCACCCCCGTGTCTCTCTCTCTCATCACCCGTGTCTCTCTCTCTCATCACCCCGTGTCCTCTCTCTCTCATCACCCAGTGTCTCTCCCTCTCATCACCCCGTGTCTCTCTCTCTCTCATCACCCGTTCCATCACCCCGTGTCTCTCTCTCTCTCATCACCCCGTGTCTCTCTCTCTCATCACCCCGTGTCTCTCTCCTCATCACCCCGTGTCTCTCTCTCTCATCACCCCGTTCTCCGTGTCTCTCTCTCACCCCGTGTCTCTCTCTCTCTCATCCCCCGTGTCTCTCTCATCACCCCGTGTCTCTCTCTCTCATCACCCGTGTCTCTCTCTCATCACCCCGTGTCTCTCTCTCTCATCACCCCGTGTCTCTCTCTCTCATCACCCCGTGTCTCTCTCATCACCCCGTGTCTCTCTCTCATCACCCGTGTCTCTCTCTCATCACCCCGTGTCTCTCTCTCTCATCACCCCCCGTGTCTCTCTCTCATCATCACCCCGTGTCTCTCTCTCATCACCCCGTGTCTCTCTCTCATCACCCCGTGTCTCTCTCTCTCTCATCACCCCGTGTCTCTCTCTCCTCACCCCGTTCTCTCTCTCTCATCACCCCGTGTCTCTCTCTCTCTCATCACCCCGTGTCTCTCTCTCTCATCACCCCGTGTCTCTCTCTCTCATCACCCCGTGTCTCTCTCTCTCTCATCACCCCGTGTCTCTCTCTCTCATCACCCCGTGTCTCTCTCTCATCACCCCGTGTCTCTCTCATCTCACCCCGTGTCTTCTCTCATCACCCCGTGTCTCTCCTCTCATCACCCGTGTCTCTCTCTCTCATCACCCCGTGTCTCTCTCTCCATCACCCCGTGTCTCTCTCTCTCATCACCCCGTGTCTCTCTCATCACCCCGTGTCTCTCTCTCTCTCATCACCCCGTGTCTCTCTCTCATCACCCCGTGTCTCTCTCTCATCACCCCGTGTCTCCCTCTCATCACCCCGTGTCTCTCCCTCTCATCCCCCTGTCTCTCTCTCTCATCACCCCGTGTCTCTCTCTCTCATCACCCCGTGTCTCTCTCCTCATCACCCCGTGTCTCTCCTCTCATCACCCCGTGTCTCTCTCTCTCATCACCCCGTGTCTCTCGCATCACCCCGTGTCTCTCGCATCACCCCGTGTCTCTCTCTCTCATCACCCCGTGTCTCTCTGCCATCACCCCGTGTCTCTCTCATCACCCCGTGTCTCTCTCTCTCATCACCCCGTGTCTCTCTCTCTCATCACCCCGTGTCTCTCTCTCTCATCACCCCCGTGTCTCTCTCTCTCATCACCCCGTGTCTCTCCCTCTCATCACCCGTGTCTCTCTCTCTCTCTCATCACCCCCGTGTCTCTCTCTCTCATCACCCCGTGTCTCTCTCTCTCATCACCCCGTGTCTCTCTCTGCCTCATCACCCCGTGTCTCTCTCTCTCATCACCCCGTGTCTCTCTCTCTCATCACCCCGTGTCTCTCTCTCTCATCACCCCGTGTCTCTCTCTCTCATCACCCCGTGTCTCTCTCTCTCATCACCCCGTGTCTCTCCCTCTCATCACCCCGTGTCTCTCTCTCTCTCTCATCACCCCGTGTCTCTCTCTCTCTCTCATCACCCCGTGTCTCTCGCATCACCCCGTGTCTCTCTCTCTCATCACCCCGTGTCTCTCTCTCTCATCACCCCGTGTCTCTCTCTCTCATCACCCCGTGTCTCTCTCTCTCTCTCATCACCCCGTGTCTCTCGCATCACCCCGTGTCTCTCTCTCTCATCACACTGTGTCTCTCTCTCTCATCACCCCGTGTCTCTCTCTCTCATCACCCCGTGTCTCTCTCTCTCATCACCCAGTGTCTCTCTCATCACCCCGTGTCTCTCCCTCTCATCACTCCGTGTCTCTCTCTCATCACCCCGTGTCTCTCTCTCTCTCTCATCACCCCGTGTCTCTCTCTCTCATCGCCCCGTGTCTCTCTCTCTCATCACCCCGTGTCTCTCTCTCATCACCCCGTGTCTCTCTCTCTCATCACCCCGTGTCTCTCTCTGCCTCATCACCCCGTGTCTCTCTCTCTCATCACCCCGTGTCTCTCTCTCTCTCATCACCCCGTGTCTCTCTCTCTCATCACCCCGTGTCTCTCTCTCTCTCATCACCCCGTGTCTCTCTCTCTCTCTCATCACCCCGTGTCTCTCTCTGCCTCATCACCCCGTGTCTCTCTCTCTCATCACCCCGTGTCTCTCTCATCACCCCGTGTCTCTCCCTCTCATCACCCCGTGTCTCCCTCTCATCACCCCGTGTCTCTCTCTCTCATCACCCGTGTCTCTCTCTCTCATCACCCCGTGTCTCTCTCTCTCATCACCCCGTGTCTCTCTCATCACCCCGTGTCTCTCTCTCTCATCACCCCGTGTCTCTCTCTCATCACCCCGTGTCTCTCTCTCATCACCCCGTGTCTCCCTCTCATCACCCCGTGTCTCTCCCTCTCATTACCCCATGTCTCTCTCTCTCATCACCCCGTGTCTCTCTCTCTCATCACCCCGTGTCTCTCTCTCATCACCCCGTGTCTCCCTCTCATCACCCCGTGTCTCTCTCTCTCATCACCCCGTGTCTCTCTTTGCCTCATCACCCCGTGTCTCTCTCTCTCATCACCCCGTGTCTCTCTCTCATCACCCCGTGTCTCTCTCTCTCATCACCCCGTGTCTCTCTCTCATCACCCCGTGTCTCTCTCTCTCATCACCCCGTGTCTCTCTCTCTCATCACCCCGTGTCTCTCTCATCACCCCGTGTCTCTCTCATCACCCCGTGTCTCTCTCTCATCACCCCGTGTCTCTCTCATCACCCCGTGTCTCTCTCTCTCATCACCCCGTGTCTCTCTCTCATCACCCCGTGTCTCTCTCATCACCCCGTGTCTCCCTCTCATCACCCCGTGTCTCTCTCATCACCCCGTGTCTCTCCCTCTCATCACCCCGTGTCTGTCGCCTATCTCTTGTCTGCATTATGGTATTTAGATTTTGTAGACGGGATGGGGAGGCTCGCGCTTCGCATTGGCTGCCGAGAGCGAGCGCCTGTCAGCGCTGGGGAATGTAAACGGGGGAGCGGCCCCCCCCCCCATGTTGTCACCGGTCTCTTATCTGTGTCTGCCCTCTCTGTGTCTCATCACCCCGTGTCTGTCACGTGTCTGTCACGTGTCTCTTGTCTGTGTCTGCCCTCTCTGTGTCTCATCACCCGTGTCTGTCACGTGTCTCTTGTTTGTGTCTGCCCTCTCTGTGTCTCATCACCCCGTGTCTGTCACGTGTCTGTCACGTGTCTCTTGTCTGTGTCTGCCCTCTCTGTGTCTCATCACCCCGTGTCTGTCACGTGTCTGTCACGTGTCTCTTGTCTGTGTCTGCCCTCTCTGTGTCGCAT